ATTAAGTCATTATATTAAGTGATTATCAAACAGATCCTAATTGGAGTGCTTTCCTAGAATCTTTTCCCTATGTGATTAAGTACAAAAAAGGTAAAGAAAATGTAGTTGCTGATGCTTTGTCTCGTCATTCTTATATGCTTTCTGTGCTAGATGCTAAGATGTTAGGATTCGAATTTATTAAGGGCCTTTATTCTGAAGATTCTGATTTTGCATCCCGTTATGACGCATGTGAAAGTGGTTCATTTAACAAGTTCTATAGGCATGATGGTTTTTTGTTTAGGGATAATCATTTATGTGTGCCTGCTTGTTATTTGCGAGAACTTCTTGTGTGTGAGTCCCACAGTGGTGGTCTTATGGGTTATTTTGGTGTCTTAAAAACATATAATATGTTACATGAGCACTTTCAATGGACTAAAATGCAACGTGATGTTGATAAGGTTTGTTCCTCATGCATTCAATGTAAGCAAGCTAAGTTTAAGTCATAACCACATGGGCTTTACACGCCTTTACCTACTCATATCTAGAGGTGTTCACGGTCCGGATTGGTCCGGATTGATAGCAATCCGTAAACAAACCGTTCATTACGGTTTGAAAAATTTTCAATCTGTAACCGGACCGGATTGGTGTATAATCCGGACCAATCCAATCCGTTTTTAACGGTTTGGTTTGGGCGGATTGGCGGTTTGGGCTTCTGATTGGACTTTTTCATTTTGGGCAAAAAATTAAACATTTTTTTTTGTTGGACCTTTTTTTGAGGGCTTTTCCTGAAATTTTTTGGGCCTTTTTCAGCCTTTTTTTTGGAGGCTTTTCTTGGAAAAAAAAAAAATTAGTCCATAGGGGATTCGAACACACGACTTTCAGCAAGGTCTAATGTAGAGGGAACAACAACAATGCCAACGGGACAACTTAGCACTTTCGATAAAAGTCTCTATCCGACGCTATATATACAAAACCAATATATTATTATTTTATAATATATATACGGTCCGGTCCGGATTGACAGACGGTTTGACACTGCCAAACCGTAATTTGGACCGGATTGACCGGTTTTTAATTTTTCAATCTGCCGGTTTAAAAATATAATTATAATCCGCCCATTAATACGAACTGATGACCGGATTGGGCGATTCCACCGGTTTGAGCCAAACTGTGAACACCTCATATCCACCCTTGGACAAACATTTCTATGGAATTTGTATTGGGATTGCCTAAATCTCAGCGTGGGTGTGATTTTGTGTTTGTGGTTGTTGATCGTTTCTCTAAGATGGCTCATTTAATTCCTTACCGTAAGTTTGATGATGCTAAGCATGTTGTTGATTTATTTATGCGTGAGATAGTACGTTTGTATGGTTTGCCTCGTACAATTGTTTCAAACAGGGATGTGAAGTTTTTGAGTTACTTTTGGAAGACCTTATGGGGTAAGCTAGGTACCAAGTTGTTATTTTCTACAACAGCACTTCCCCAGACGGATGGTCAGACAGAGGTCGTCAATAGGACTCTTGGGACTTTACTTCGTGCATTGATCCAGAAGAATTTGAAGACATAGGAGTCTTGCTTGCCAATTGCTTACAATCGCACTTTACACACTACGACTCAATATTCTCCATTTGAAATTATTTATGGCTTTAATCCACTTACACCGTTGGATTTGTCTCCTTTGCCTGTTTCTCAATTTCTAGATGTAGATGGTGCAAAGAAAGCTGAGCTTGTGCGTGCTCTACATGAGAAGGTGCACTTGAACATTCTCAAGAAAATGAACACTTCGCCAGGGTTGCTAACATGGGACGCAAGGAAGTAGTTTTTGAGCCTGGTGATTGGGTTTGGGTGCTTTTATGAAAGATTTTCTTTCCTACCAAAGTCAAGTCAAAGTTGGATCTACAAGGCGATGGGCCATTTCAAGTTGTTACGCGCTTGAACAACAATGCCTATCAGCTAGATTTACCCGGTGAGTACCATGTTAGTGCTACTTTTAATATCTCTGATCTTTCACCCTTTGATTATGCAGATGCTAGTGCAATGAATGCTTTGGATTCTAAGACGAATCCTTCCGAGGAAAGGGGAAATGATGTAGAAATCAATCATGATGGTGTTCAAGTGGATGGACAAACTTCCCAATAAGTCAATCAAGATCCTTTGTCTAATATTGGAGGTGTGGTGACTTGATCTTGTGCGAAGAAAAGAGATGAAATGCTCAAAGCTCTAATCCTAAATATTCATTCTCATGAAGAAGCTCAAAGGATTGATTTTATTCCTTGGGTAACTTACCTAGCATTAAAAATATTAGCCATTTCGAAGAGAGGTCCAAAGAGTTCGTCAAGTAGATTGGAAGCACCTGTCGTCGACCTCTTTGTCAGTCGACGAGCAAGCCGACGTGGTGATGTCGACCATTCTGTCAATCGACGAGAAGGCCGACGCGCAATGACGAACTAGGGTTCCAAATATCCTAGTTTTAAATTTGCACGAATTTTTCCTATTTTATTTGTTTTCCTTAGATATTATTGAATTAAATAAGTTTTAAGGGACTTCTAAATATATTGCAACATGTGCAAATATTTAGAAGAGTTATTTTTATATTTTACAATTCATTAGGGGTTAAGTCCACAAATGACCTAAATGTTGGATTTTGACCTAGTTGGCCTTTTTTTCACGTTAAAAGAAGAGAGGCTGCCAATTTGTATGTTTCATAGTATTTCTATTTTCATTACATGAAGAGAGTGAAACTCTTTATTCTTAATCCTTTTGGGGATTAATTTGGTTTGTGCGAATCGTAGACTTGCATAGGTAACAAGCGTGCCCTTGAGTTTAGTGTTCTCAATCGGTGGAGCTTTGATAGCCATTTCGTAGGACAATCATCAATTCGTTTTCGTCACAAATCTTAAAGTGAGAGTTAATTGGGATATAACTAAAGGGTTGCTAGCCATAACACTATTTTATTTCTTGTCTTTATGCCAATTTTGATTCGGATTTTTGTTGGTCCGGGTCTTATTTTATGTTTTTCTTGATTTGAATCTAGCAAGGAATGCAAGTTTTGGGGTTGCTTCCGCATGAATAGGTAATTTCATATATAAGAATACAGGAAGTTTCGAAGAAAACGTTCCCAACAATTGTCAATTAAATTTTTTTTTCCTTTTTCCCTTTTTCCTCTTTCGATTCTTGGTTAGATCTTGAACTGGCTAAGTTCTTGGCTAGACCAGTTTCATTGTTTCTGGAAGAATGATCAACGGTGAAACCATTTTCCAAGGAACGTTTTGGCTAGCCAGCCTATATGATTTAATGCGCCGAGAACTTGGCCTTACCAAAAGATTTTCAGACTGTATTAACTGAAATTGTTTATCCCTTGTGAAAGAGATGGAAATTAAACACGGATCACATGGTAGTGCTATCTAAACCTCAACAACTTGCTAAATGCTTCAAGAGATAGTGGACGAATTCACTGCATCAACATTGTGTTATATCGAGCAACTTACTTTGTTTTCGATCTATACATGTAGTTCTATTTATATGAACATAAAGAAATACTTTTTTAATAATTTAATACAGTAGATTGCTTTTTAGGACAAAACAATATTTATACAGGGATATTTTCAAATTTGCAATCTTTATAGGCGGTTCTTATTGGACACTGTAATCATATAATTATTGCTCCCATTAGCTTTAGTTTCATAGCTGGCTTTTGGCTAAATTTTGATGTAACATCAATACATCATGATGTCTTCTCTTCAATTATTTTTTCCTTTTTTGAGGTTCTCCATATTGTGGGCTTATTGGTCATTTCTGGTATACGAGGAAAACGCTTTGATGAGGTCCTTGGGCTATAAAAAATAAAATAAAATATTATTTCTATCCAAAAAAACCTAATCTACACAATAAAAATATCAAAACTCAATTTATACTATTTTTTTTTTAACAGAGAAGTAATTGTTAGTGGTAGAAACATAGTCACGATAAGTTTTTCTATCTTTTTTAATAAAAGCTAGGTAATGAGATAAAATTAGAAAATAATTTGTATTCCATTTATGTACATGCAAAATAATTATCAATAACACAATCATGATCAAATGTAACAAAAATTACTTGCATAAAGATTAGTATTTTTATAAACTCGTGCGGAATTTCGTAAAAGTCCGTACAAGTTCTAAAACCACCAGCTTCACCCATTGATGATAGGGAAGTTGTTGTTGGATTTAGTAAAAACCATTAAAAGTGAAAACGAAGAAAAGATATACAATTATTTAAGAGCTACATTATCAAAGAATTGCTATTTATCACCTTTACGTTGAGTATAAATAATAAAAGCTTGTAATGTCTCATGGATTGATTAATATTGTGTATACACCTACGAAATCACTTGGAATCTGGACAACAAAGAAGTGCCTTGTGACTTCTCCTATAACTAGGAAAAACTCAAGTTGATAACTAGCTAGTTAGTTTCTTACTAATTAACGACCAAACTTTCCAAATAAATCTTTCTTTTTTTAACGCCGGAAACCCAATCAGAGATGGGTAAACTCATGCCCACACAATCTTACCAACCAAAAAGTATAAACCTACAAAACAATGAGATATACTAAACGAACGCATTACACATTTATTTAGATTAATTCGACTCTGGTACAGGTAGACATGATGTATCTTAACTAATCAACTACATCAAATTCTAATCACTTTTCGAAACACGGCCCATAAAGGAAGAGGAATCACTACGAAGAATTGAACCTGCGTACAGGGAGACGACTCATTAATAACTCAAGACAATGTTTTCGATAGATTTGCGTCGTTTACTTTTTAATAATGGTGATTATTGACGTTTGTTAGCTAAAGATACAAAAGGACAATTGTGCACTCAATGTATGATTAATACCCCTCGTGTAAATTATGCAGTGCGAGCCAAAAAACAATTAAAATGTACGTACCAACTAGTCCACTATATTAATTTCACATTTATTTATATGCACATTTTTTTTTTCTTCCACTCACATTTATCTATCTATCTATCTATCTATATATATATATATATATATATATATATATATATATATATATCAACTTGACAAAATGATCGAGGAATCAGTATTCATAGGAAAAGCAAAGGATATGGAAAACAACCAAAGCTACAAGCAGCATATTGTGCTTGTACATGGTGCATGCCATGGAGCTTGGTGCTGGTTCAAGCTCAAGCCGCTGCTCGAGTCAGCCGGCCACCGGGTCACCGCGATGGACCTCTCTGCTTCCGGGATAAACCCGAAACAGATTGAAGAAGTTCTAACTTTTGAGGAGTATAGTCTTCCCTTGCTTGAATTTATGGCTTCTCTCCCGGTTAGAGAAAAAGTCATTTTAGTTGGTCACAGTCTTGGTGGTATAAACATAGCTCTTGCATCGGATAAATATCCCGATAAAGTTCGGTTGGCCGTTTTCCTAACAGCTTTCATGCCGGATTCTGTTCATGCACCTTCGTATCCTTTGGATCAGGTACACGAATTAAATCCTTCATTTACTTATTGTTTCACTGCAGTACTAATGCATTACAGCTAGTTGATTTCGTCAATAGGCATTTACCTGTTTTAATTTCATTGGTTGATGGGTTTGTAATAGGAAATATATGCTGTCATTGTCATTTTTTTCAAATATAAGGTGTCCTTGTTCTTTCATTTCACAGGAAACCATTATATAATCAATTCCATTTGATGCAACTTTCTCATTGGTTTCTTTTCTTTTGTGTCGGATGAATTTGAAACAAATTTGACATTACCATAAAAAGTCGAAACTGGTTATTTTCAATGGGTCAGATCAATTTTTTCATAACTAGTTAATTTAATTAAGAAGGTACTATATGGTTGGCGTTATTCACCCTTTTCTCTCTCAAGTTTAATCATGAATTTAACTAAAATCAAAGTCTTACTGAATTGCATATTCCAAACAGTATGTCGAGCGGATGCCGGCCGATAATTTTATGGACACGGAGTTCAAATCCTGCGGCAGCCCAGAAAAGCCACTAACAACTATGTTCTTCGGGCCGCAGTTTTTTGCCTCCAAACTTTACCAAAACGCATCCACTCAGGTAACTTTTTTTTAACATTGGATCTTTCGAAGAAACATTCCTAACAAATTCCCAATTATCATCTCTCTGGTCTTTCAAAAGTAAAGTTTGTCAGTTTTGGTCTTTTTACATTTTTCGTTTTTGGCGTTTTAGGATCTTGAGTTGGTTAAGTTTTTGGCAAGACCAAGTTCATTATTTCTGGAAGATTTGTCGAAGGTTAAACCCCTTTCAAAAGAAGGTTATGGATCAGTGAAGCGAGCTTATATCATATGCGCGGAGGATAAAGCCATACCAAAACATATTCAGAGCTTGCTAATTGAAACAGTCGGAGTATCCATGGTGAAAGAGTTAGAAGACTCGGACCATATGCCAATGCTCTCCAAGACCCAACAACTTTGCCACACGCTTGAAGTGATCGCTGATCAATTTACAATGGCATGATCAATTTTGAGTAATCAATCTTATGGGCGGCTTTGTTTTTTGTTTTTTGTTTTTTTTTTTTTGTAATTAAATAAACTGTCCCAATCAATTAGTAGGTGGAATATTTTTAACTTTTCCCTTTTTGAGGTTGTCTCTTGTAATGGGCTTGTTGGCCATGTTGGCCATGTTTGGTATGTCAAAGGGAAATAATTCATGCTTCCTTGAACTTATGTTAGATGTGTGTAAAATTAAAAAAAAAGGTTTTCCATCACTATTAGTAGTCCATTTCATTGCCTTTATTAAATTCATCCCTTCGCTTTAAGTAAGGATTCGTAGGACAACCATATCTAGCTATTTGATGAATCTAAATGATCTTGACGTACGGGTCATTTTTTTTTGAATTTTATTTTTTGTCACAACAACTCAGTCTCGTTTAAAGTTGGAAGAAATCCCTTTAAACCTTGCTTAAGATGGCCATTGATTATCTTCAAGTTCCAACTTTTTTCTTTCTTTTTTTTTTGTATAAACAAATAAAGGTCAGGTAATAAGCCATTGATTAGGTTGTTTGGGAGGTATAATAAGAAATGTAATTTTTGTTTGAATTTAAAGTAGAAATAACCCTTCGTTCTTTTTGCTCTAACAATAATTCTTGCAATTAAGCAGACATAATGAGGATAGAAATACGTGCTGTACTGTACAGTCTACACTCAACAAGTACAAACAGAATGGATAACCAGTCTAAACCGGTTGGATAATCAACATGAAAACAATGGATAATCATTTTTCAAAGAAAAACAAAAAACACATTTCTTCATTTCTGCCCGTAAAATTTAAATGCATTTAAAGTTAAAAAAAAAATATTCAACATGGATCTTATCGGATAGATCTCATCGAGCACTATAAATTTCATATATAATTCGTGTTATAAATCTTTATGAATCAAAAGATACAAGGAACACAACAATATGAATGTAAAATAAGTTGGTTATCCATCTTTTTAAACTGGATATCCAATGTGTTCATATTGATTATCCAACTTCTTTGTGGTGGTTATCCAGTATTTTTTTTCCTTGCTCTTTTATGAAAATGATTGTCAAACTTCTTTGTGGTGGTTATCCATTCTGTTTGTACTTGTTATCCAATCATATTTTTGACATTCACTCTTCAAAAAAAAAAAAGAAAGAAAAAATGATTGGATAAGCATTGCAAACAATTTGGATAATCAATAGAGATGAGAGAGAAAAAAAGTCACAGGGACTAAACTTACAAAATACATGAAAATTGAGGAAAAAACGTACAATAAGGACTAATAGTGCAAAAAATAGGAGGGGGTACACGGTGCCCCCGGATATACTGGATACAGACTCTTATATTTCTTTGTTTATTTATTTTTAATTTTCTCTGAACTAATAAATTCCACAACGTGTCTGGACCCGGAGGTGCCAAGGAAGCTAAAGAGAGGAAAGATTTGGTATCTCTCTGGTGGTTCTGTTTGTAAAGTTTCTCCCTCCACTCCTCGAGTGTTTTCTTATTGATCATCGTTCACCAACATGGGACTTGGGGACACCTATAAAGAGCCCTAGAAAATACCAATTCCAAATTTATTCTGTCTAAATTAAGGTTAAAATTAATATAGAGGATGAACAACAGAGATATGAAGGACATTCTGCTCAAATTATTATCCCCACAGCAATTATCAAATAGAAAACAGTCATGGGCACGGCAGGAGAAAATGTAATTCTCTATTGCTCTTGGTCTTGGTTTTTTATGTCTTTAAAATTAATTATGCACATTTTCTGTCCCAAAACTAAAAGTTTATTTGAATTTTGAGATTTATATAGTACCAGTGGTAGAGACAGGGGGTAGTTAGCCAGTGTGGTGGCACCCCCTCCGATTTTAATTTTTTTTTAATATGTATTATGTAATTACTAGGTAAACAAAATAATGTCTTCGTTTTCACAACTCCTCTAAAAAATTTATAATAATAATTAAACTTCTTTTAATTATTGAATTTATGAACAAACCTTTATAACAATGCATTTTTATCAGTATTTGTAATTCTTAGGTAAAAAATATTGAATTGTAAATCTTTGCATTTAAGAACTGGTAACAATCCTATTTTTCCTATATTTTGATGATGTAAACACCAAACATTTGAGATTTAAATAAATTAAGACTCAAAATCCCCAAAATTTATACTAGGCTAAAACTTTAACATGAAACTTAAAATGGCCAAATATATCCACCGTTAAAATTTTGTTTGCTCTAAGAAAAAGAATGATCAATTAATGTAAATTACATTAATAAATTGTTTTAGTAGTCTTATCTTATAATAATAATAATAGGGTAGAAGTATTTTTCCCCTTATTTATATATGAATTTTTTTGTAGAATTTCCCAAGATTAAATACATCTTAAAAAATAAATTTAAATCCCATAACTTCTAGTTGCAAAATGTGTAAAATATTAATGGAGTGATGCTAAATAATTTGTAATAGATTTTGAATGAGGGAAAAAATGTATTTTAGTATTATATATTTTTTTAGCACTAAATATTTATTTTTAGTATTTAATACTCTTGAGGTGATGATTTTCATTTTGCACCCCCTAGCCCAAAATCCTGGCTCCGTCACTATATAGTACAAATCTTAAAATTCAATTCCGACCACATCTCCCACTGAAATAATTTGGCGAACTACAGTATTTTCTGAGTTGGAATAAAAATTACTGTATTTTGTTCAAAGTGGTAAAAAGTCGACAGGATCTATATGTAAATAAAGATCCTCTAAAACTAAACCACATTCTTTAGCCGTGAAGTATACCCCCTTCCCTTTCTTCTCTCATCAAGTAAGCCCCCTTTTGCCCATCACTTTATCTATCATCGTAACTGTAAGTCTCTCGTAGTTGTAAATGTTGATCTCTTTTATAATTATTAAAATAATGTTTGTAGGATTGATGATACAGTAATGAAAGTTGTGGTTAATTTGTTTAGGTTATTGCCCTCATAATCAATGAATTTGTGTTTATAATTTGTTTAGATGTGAGTTGATGATGACATATAAATAATTAATGTGTTTTCAGGAATAATGGACGTACGTGATAATGAATATATTGAAGAAGGGAGCGGAGAATTTGAAGAAGGGAGTGATGAAAGCGAAGAAGGGTATGGATGAATTAATTAATAAGGCACGTAATGACGACGATGCTCGGAGTAGTCTCCTTGCGTTGGCCATCTGCTCACCTTTACCTTGGGTAATTAGTTATGCTTATTCGGCGTTCCTAAAGATGGTCGTAGCCGACGACTTTGAGGATGATGATCCCATCGTTTTGGTATTTTTCGGTATGAAGAAGCCTACGCCCTCACAACCCTACTTCAAGGTCCTGCTTCCTACCGATGACCTTTTTTTGATAGTTTTCGGCTGGAAAAGGCCCCAACAATTAATCAAGTTGATGACTCCTGTTATTGTTGATTTCCTCCATCGAGGGTTTCACTCCTCTTCCATCGGTTTCGTTTAGGGTTTACATTAATATTATTGCGTCTCATGCTCTTCATTTTCGATTTTTTTTTCCTTTTAAGGTGCCATCTTCACTCATTTTCGTATTTTTTAACATATAAAAAAAATACTTATATTTCTTTTTTATTCATACCTTCTGTCCCAAAGTAAAAGTTAAACTAGACAATCATTTCGGGATGAAGAGAGTGTTTAGTGTTTCATTTCATGTCACATAAACCATTTAGGGAGGATTTATTTGTAAAGACAGAGGGAGCATTTATTTATGTGATGTTTTCTTTTTATAATGTATCTCAGTATCTATCATTCAGTTAATTAATGCATAAGTGACTTTTAACCAATTTAATTAGTTTCTAACGATTCTTTCGATTAATATGTACTGCTCGATCCTTAACATTGGCCAGAGTATACAAATGTTTGTGGTTGGCCCTGTAATTGTTGTGTCTTTGTACAAATAATTGATGGACAACCTTTGTCACGTCTCTGAAACAACTCCATAGAAATGGATTAAAATTAGTTTAAATGTAACAATTTCACTCTATAGTCTCCCGGATCTGTTACTTCTTTTTGGTGGTTAATTGACAACTCCAATGATTTAGGAGGACTGATTTCGTCAACTAAGTAGTAAATACCACAATCCAAAAAGTATTTTTTTGGTCGAAAACTTCTCTGTGTTTGCAGATGAAATTGCCGTATGAAATGGTGGAACATAAATGTTAAAAATACAAGCCGAGAATATGCTCTTTGGGCCTAAAAGAAAAACCAAATGATATCAGCCATTATAGCATCTGCATGTCTTGGTGAAATTTTCAAACGATAAAAGGCCAATAAAGCATCTTTACTAGTACGAATTAAACCTGCTGACAGCTCAAATTTCTAAATTATTTATAAGCAACTGCTAGCTAAACATAGGAAACTCCAACTAGGTACTTTTATCTTCTTCTTTTTTTTCAGTGTGTCAGAACAGCTACTAATTCACATAAATATCTATAACCCCCCAAGAAGAAACACGTTATGTACACTTGATAGTAATTTAACAGAATATTAGTTGGGTCAGAAAAGAAATCCATCATCCAAATCACTCCAGAAGAAAGGAATGGAAAAGCAGAAGCAGCAACATTTTGTGCTGATACATGGTGCATGCCATGGAGCTTGGTGTTGGTTCAAGCTCAAACCACTGTTGGAGTCAGCCGGCCACCAGGTCACGGCCCTTGACCTTTCGGCTTCTGGAATCAACCTGAAAATGATCGAAGAAATCTATACATTTGAGGAATATAGTCTTCCTTTGCTTGAATTCATGGCTTCTCTTCCGGCTAGTGAAAAAGTCATTCTTGTTGGCCATAGTCTTGGGGGCCTAAACATAGCTCTTGCTTCAGACAAGTTTCCTGATAAAGTTCTGGTTGCTATTTTCCTGACAGCTTTCATGCCAGATTGTATACATTCTCCCTCATATCCTTTGGATCTGGTAATGTATATTTTGTTTGTCTGATGAATCTGTACATATCATTTGGCATTTCCATATTAATCCATTTCTCAAAGTCAATGATTATTGGTGTTGATATTCATCAATCTCTTTCAAGTTTAATCTTCAAAGACTCAAAAGTCATAAGTCTCAAAATCTTGGTTTTCTGAATAGTTCTTCGAGCAAACCTCGGCTGAAGAATTCATGGACACAGAGTTCAAGTCTTTTGGTACCCCAGAAAGGGCCCAATCTACTATGTTTTTTGGGACTCAGTTGTTGGCCTCCAAAGCTTACCAACTAACCTCCACTCAGGTAATTAATTTCTTTAACCAAGTGTTTAAAAAATCAAACAAATTACGCGATTAATCAGGTGCATTCATTTATTTCTTATTTATTCTTTTTGGTGGTCCAGGATCTTGAGTTGGCTAAATTTTTGGTAAGACCAAGTTCAACATTTGTTGAAGATTTGTCAAAGGCAAATCCTTTTTCCAAAGAAGGTTACGGATCAGTGAAAAGGGCTTATATCATATGTGCGGAGGATTTAGGGTTAACAAAAGAGTTTCAAAGCATGCTGATTGAAAGAGTTGGAGTCTCCATTGTGAAAGAGTTGAAAGATACGGATCACATGGCTATGCTCTGCAAGCCCCGTCAACTTTGTCAAGCACTTAAAGAAATAACTGATGAAATCACAACATCATGTACTATAAACCCATAGATAGACTGATTTTAATTTCAATCCATCTAGTTTTAGTTAACAAAGTTTGTTCTTCAATCTTATTAGAACATTGCTCCTGAAATCTTGACAAGCTGCAGTAAGGATGTATCATCAAAATTCAGGGCTATAAAACCGTCTTTAGACTAAAACCTAGAGGAAGCATCTAGAGTTTTATGTATAAGGAAAGAAATAATTCAAAGCATTTCTCCATTAATTCGATCCTAATAAATCATGGCAAACTTCTCCTCGAAAAAAAAAAATTAGACAGGGGAGATGATGATATCAGAATACTGTTTTGCTTGAAATCAATGTTTAAATTACTGATTCCAAGACCTTAGCATACTTGTTTCAATCAAGAGAATTAAATGAATGTAAAAATATATTTTTGAAGATTTTTTCGTCAATTAAAAATACGTATTAGATTAAACCTAGAACAAAATCAAAATACCTTATATTAAGGACCGGAGGGAGTATTTCAGTGTATGAATTTCATTCGTAAACCCTTGAACAAAGACTCTTTTAATTATGCGGATCACAATCTCAATGGGGGAAAAAACAAACAAACAAACAAACAAACAAATGTGCTTCAAACTTGGTTCATTTTCGAATGGACTAAACACAACTGAAAGTTTGCACTGCAAACGTCATATAATTAATTCGCTCCTTTGTGAAAAAAAAAATTAAATTAAGAAGAATCATTAGAAAATTTTCAGATGAAATACTAAAAGCACGTGTCCAAAAATATGAGCAGATGATAATTCATGCTCGACACAAACGCAAAACTAGAAATGAAAAGGTCAAATATGTTCAACAATGTAGATTACATTTACTACCTAGACTAAGAATAATAATATACACCCGTTATATCAAGAATTCGACAATGAAGCCAGGCAGAATTAATCAGCAAAAACGAATCATAATTCGATGAAGTAAACATTTCTTAAAGCATACGGCGACTACACAAATTGGAAAATGCAATAAAAAGTTAACAACAACATTCCAGCTCAGGTGTGGTTGGTAAAAAGAATATAACAATTACAGATGAAAACTTCATACCAGAAGGGAAAAAAAAACACCATTAATAGGAGGGAAAAAGAGGGAAGACAAACGCAGGCGTTACCTTTTGTCTTCATGATGGCCTCGGCAATCAAACTGGAGCTGATCTCTAATTCTCTATAGCATATATCACAACACATATATTGCATAACGAAGAAACAACAGAAACATTTTACCAATTTTCAGGTTGGTGTTTTTTATTACGTGAAACTCTTTCGGCACATTCTCTAACTGTAATCCTGCACCTTAATAACTTTTCGATAAAAGTAAAATTATACTCACTATGTCCCAAGATTATTCTCCAGTTTGGATTTTCAGTTTTAGACATCAAGATTATTGTCCAGTTTGGATTTTCAGTTTTAGAGACCCAAGATTATTAGAAATCTAAACTGGACAATAATCTTGAGACAGAGAGTATAAAACTTACTCAATGATAACAATATTAACTAGATATTAAACCCGCACGATGTGCGGGATTGATATATAAACATTCATAAAAAATATTTAAAATTTCAATTCGCTAAATGTAAATGAAATTATTTAGTTTGTGACAAAAAATATTAACATAAATAATAAAAAGAGCAATGATCATGTCTATGATTGATAACTTATAGTGAAATGAGACAGTGACTCGTGAAAAGACGTAAGCACTCCATTGAATTCATAGCTACCAATGTCATAGATGACTGTTAAATAAATATACACGTGATACATCAAACACTAATCTATTTTACGTTTGATTTTCACGATATGTAATTGTTATATATATATATATATATAGATATAAGAATAATTAGATGTGAAAAGGAATTTTAGGAGTTTAAAGAATACAATGGTCTGTTGCGAAAGGTTGAGATAACTCGAAATTGGGCGGTAGTATATGTCTGTAGCCACGAAGGTGGCCATTTTGAAGAATTTCTGGCGGGTGAACGAAATAACCTCTATAGATGGAACATTTATATAGTGGTAACAATTAATGTTAGAGTGACAACCTCAAAGTTAATTTGTCGTAATGTATGGATTAGGGTAATATTATATTGTCAAGTTAGAACTTAAATAATTATTTTTCACTAATCAAAGAATTACCATAATATAGTGTAAGGTTTCTCCCTTTTCATTTTATTGCAATATTAATGATGATTGATTGTAAGATTGATCATGTCTAATTATATCTTAAAAATTGGATTTACAATTCTTAATTGGGGGATGCATTACAGAAGATGGGGCAAAATAGTGTTTTAAGCTCAATGATTTTCGGCGCAATTTTAGTTAAATTCAAATTGGACTAACCGACGTCAAGTGTTTTTTTTTTTTGTTAGTCTTTATTTAAAATATGAGGACTGTTTGAAAGTTTTTGTGGTGATTGCAAAATATTTGTGAAGTTACTGTAGTGGTGAAGTATGCTATCATTTATAGGGTTTTTAAGGATTTTGTTTTCCCAAATTATTTGGATTTCAGAATCACGAATTATTGCCCAGTTTGGATTTTTAGTTTTAGATATTAAGAGATAAAGCACAAAGGAATTAGAAGTCTTAGATTAGTTTCATCTAGTTGGTTATTTCAAGTGAATTACTTATTTTTATCACTTAAAAAAATTAGTTAATTTACATAATTATCATATTTGTAAACTAAGCCTAGAAAAAGGCATTTGATGTATTCAGTTTATAAAAGAAATAAAAAATGCAGTACTTCACTCCATTAGTTTATTCTCTGCTTTTATTTTTATAAATAAAATACCAATTTTCTTTTTTAAAGACCAAAGATTATTAGAAATTTAAACTGAACAATAATTTTGAGACAAAGAGTATAAAACTTACTCAATGATCACAATATTAATACCATGAAAGTCTGATCGGAGATAAAGAGATGAGAATTGAGAGAACTTTTGTAGATTGATTGAGGAAAAAAGGAAATCACGTGATTGAGAATTGAGATAGAAACAAATTTTATTATATATAAGTTAATAAACCCTCCATCTAAAGAGACTAGAATGAAACAAATTTTGGGACAGACCGTATGACTTAAAGAATACTCAATTTAATAAGAAGTTTTATTAGTTTGTTGATGTGACAATTTAATTTCGTATATGATATGACAATTAATGCTTCGGGTGATTAATTAGGATGATGATGATGACGTGTTAATCGCACTAATTTGGTTAATGACATGAAGTACATGGAAATGTCGCGTGTGAATCAAAGGAGAAGATAAATTTGAACAGGCTGTGTTCTTATATAATGTCATATACATAACCACAAGAAGAATAAAATTAGATGTTGGTAATTTGATTTGTTTTTAGTATTAATTGTGGTGATTTGGTCATTGTTAAAGGGAGCCTATTTGCTCTTATTAATTGGGGATATTTTCTCAAAAAAATAAAATAAAATTGGGGATATGATTAGTGAATTTAGGGATAAAATCAGATATTGGTAATTTAATACTATGATTTTGGTATTAATTGGGGTGATTCGAGAGCCTATTTGTTTGTATAAATTGTATTGATTGGAATAAACACAAGTATTTTCCTGAATCTTTGTGTTATTATTTATCATATCTAAGTCTGTATATGTACACTTAATAGTAATTTAATAAAATATTATTACTTGGTTCACATAGGGGAAAAAAAAAAATCAATCATCGAACCAGTCAAGAGGCAAGGAATGGAAAGGCAGAAGCAGCAGCATTTTGTGCTGGTACATGGTGCATGTCATGGAGCTTGGTGTTGGTTCAAGCTCAAGCCGCTGTTGGAGTTGGCCGGCCACCGGGTCACGGCCCTAGACCTCTCGGCTTCCGGTATCAACCCTAAAAGGATCGAAGAACTCGATACGTTTGAGGATTACAGTATTCCATTGCTTGAGTTCATGGCTTCTGTTCCTTCACATGAAAAGGTGGTTCTGGTTGGCCACAGTCTTGGGGGTTTGAACATTGCTCTTGCTTCAGAAAAGTACCCTGATAAGGTTCTGGTTGCCGTTTACGTATCAGCTTTCATGCCAGATTGTGAACATGCTCCCTCATATCCTTTGGATCAGGTTGGCTGTTTTTTTTTTAAATTTATATTTTGTTTGTCTGATGAATCTACATATCATATTTGACATCGCCATGTTGATTAATTTCTCAAAGGTAATTATTGGTGTTAATACTCATCGACCCTTTTCAAGTTTAATCTTCAAAGACTTGAAACTCAAAAGTCTCAAAATCTATGTTTTCTGAATAGTTTTTCGAGCAGAAATCGGCTGAAGAATTCATGGACACAGAGTTCATATCCATTGGCACCACAGAAAGGCCCCAGTCCACCGTGTCTTTTGGGACTCAATTCTTGGCCTCCAAAGTTTATCAACTAACCTCCACTCAGGTAAGTTCTTTAACTAAATGTTACGAGAGAATCAAACATATTATGCAATTAATTTAGTGCATTTGTTTCTTTTGGTGGTTTAGGATTTTGAGTTGGCAAAATTTTTGGTCAGACCAAGTTCAACATTTGTTGAAGATTTGTCCAAGGCGAAACCTTTTTCCAAAGAAAATTACGGATCAGTGAAGCGAGCTTATATCATATGCGCAGAGGATTTAGGCGTAACAAAAGAGTTTCAAAGCATACTGATTGAAAGAGTTGGAGTCTCCATTGTGAAAGAGTTGAGAAATGCGGATCACATGGCTATGCTCTGCAAGCCCCATCAACTTTGCCAAGCACTTAAAGAAATAACTGATGAAATCACAACATAATATACCTCATAGGTTTTAGCTGAGTGATTTTAATTTCAATCCATCTATTTTTAGTTTACAGAGTTTGTTCTTCCATGTTATTAGAATATAGCTCCTGAAATCTTTGACAAGCTGCAGTAAAGATGTATCATCAAGATTCAGGGCTATAATTAAAAAGATCACTGTCACAAGCGAAAAGTTCAAAGAAATACACATACATTATAGCTCTGTTAATCATTCACTACTCAAATACTACTTCTCTTCTACATGTGTTTTCACAAGTTTCGACAATTCAAAAGCTTCTCATTGCTAGTTATCCGTACTCCCTCATAGAAAAATGATGTCACTACAGAGGCGAAACAAAAATAATTTGCAGTATGAAGATTAGAAAATGATAACGATCTTTCGACTTAGTTAAGAGGAAGCATCGAGAGTATTCTGTTATATGTAGAATCTGAATTGATGAAGAAATAATGTACTCCTATGTTATTTATTAAACACCAGTAGAGGCTAATACGGCCAGCAAAATAATTTATACATGGTGAAAATAAGGTTACATTCCCAATAGAAAACGGACCTTGTCTTCTCTGAGTTGAGAAAACTGACAGTCATGAAGGCTACTGATAGATGTTTCCAGAGAAAGCAAGCAGCAGTTGGGCATACACAAAAGATAATGTCTCAACTCTCCCATTTTTGCTATAAAATGTTCAGCCTTCTTTGCATTCTGCATTAGGAGTCAGGAATTCGAATTTTCCTCCAATAATGTGATGCTAAAACCATCCTGAAACTCCACCACATTTCCAAACCTTCTGTCTCATTTGATGTGAAGAATTTGCATACTTCCCCATGGGGCCGTCGCTGGAAATTCCACAAATAGCTTCCACGAGTAGCACACCATTCTGAGACACCTCAAGTAGCCACATTTCAAACAAATCAAAATTTATAATGCGCACATAACCATCCTTATTAAGAACCTATGCAGAAGTTTGAGCTGGTAAACATTTTTAAAGAATGATAAAACCATCAACTAAGAAGTAGAAGTACTTCAAAATACATTCTGTTGATCTGGCACCAGTATCATTTTAGATGAGGTAATCCAGAAAGACTTAATCATCAGAAAGAATTACTAGTATCAATATCAAAGTGAAGAGACAAAAGGACAATAAATCATAACCAGAAGTTTAAGCAATGCGCAAATGAGATATTATGAAGTCAGCTCAGCAAGAAACAAATGAAAAAAGGTGTTTAGGATTCAGAAGGTTTGAGATAAGGGTTATGAAGTCCATTTTTGTTGATGACAAAGTCTCATATCAAAGTGAAGAGACAAAAGGACAATAAATCATAAACAGAAGTTTAAGCAATGCGCAAATGAGATATTATGAAGTCAGCTCAACAAGAAACAAATGAAAAAAGGTGTATAGGATTCAGAAGGTTTGAGATAAGGGTTATGAAGTCCATCTTTGTTGATGACAAAGTCTCCCTCGAATCAGTCATAAAAAGAATGTCAAGAAAGGATTTAAGACACACCAGAGAACTTTCACAGATATCAATAGTAGTAACAAGGAGATGAACCATCTACCCCCTGCTACAGTATGGAACAGAAAAGAGTAGCAAAAGCATTTCACATTGTAAATCATCCTGGAATCCTAGAGGAGGAAACAGTTAAGAATAGGCTACAACAGAGGCAAGATGCCAGGAAAATATTGAAATATGAATTCCAGTAATCATCATTATGCTCATTCTACAACATTTACAAGATTCTGAGAAAGATCTTCAGGGAAAAAAGTCTTAAGAACTGAAGCCTAAACCACAATGATGGAACAGAATGATAAATAATGAAATAAAAATACACAATCAGTGAGCCAAGCGAAGAGTGCAAGATACTTATTCAGCAAACTCTATCTTGAAGTCCATCTTTTAAATCAAGCAGCATGGCGACAAACCTTATTGTAACAAGCAATACAATTCCATGTGAACATTATCACATTAACTGACTAAAGAGTAAATGCAGACATGAGCATAAAGGCATCCAGAGTAATAAACGAGAAGGGTTCAAAAGGCATCCTGAGCGATCATTTCCCCCAAAAAAGCTGTAGGTTACCCACATGAAATAGCTTTTCAACTGGAAAACGATGGACTTCTAGATCCATTTCAAGCTAGAGGTAGCATATCTAACCCCCCCTCCCCAACCCACCTTCCCCCGTTTGAGAAACGTTATTTGTCCATCCTCTCCTTTACCCCTGAAAGCTGTTGATAACAGTTAAAAAGATCCCAATAAAACAAATTCCCCCCTCAACGTCCATAGATCCTCTACAAACAAATCTTACTAGCTTCAATCCCACCATAACAAATCATCCAAAAGAAACAAAAGTTCCATTTCGAGAGGAATGAAAGAAATTATCAGTTTGTTCAAGAATATGAGACAAACAGTGCAATGAACCAAGTTCTTACAGCGTACATTTTGAGTGACTTTGAACTTCCAAGTACTTGCAATGCAACATATTAGATACCTGAACATGGCCTCTGTTTTCCTTTCATAGCAGTAAGAAGCCATATCTGTATGGGTCTTATCCAAATCAGCTACAGAGTTTGTTCTTCAATCTCATCAGAACAGAGCTCCTGAAATCTTGACAAGCTGCAGGAAAGAAATGCCTCTGAGATTTAAGGCTATCTAAGAAAATAATTTCTACTGCCACAATCAAATTCAACAAAATACATGGTACGCTGAGCTCTATTGTTCACTACAGATATTCTCTCATACGTGAGTATTTTCAGAGGCTTTAAGAAAATCAAAGGTTATTATTACTGTCCGTATTTAGTCATAGAAGCACAAAGCCAACACAGTGGCAAAATGAAAATGCTTTCTATTTTGAAAATTAGAAAACTGGAACAACCCTTCAACAAAAACTAGAGGAAGCATCAAATGTTTTCTGTGCCTTAAAACTGCCACATCTGCTAAGCCATACTGGTTATTTATTGACATTGAAGCAAGAACCTTTTTATATAAGTTTTCTGCCTTATGTATACTCCAACAGATGAAGAAAAAATGCATGTTATTCATCAAACACCACTAGTGCCAAAGCTCTCAGTTATGTAACCATATATAAGTTGTGAAAATAAGAGATTTTTGTCAACTGAAGAGATGTGCAAACTTACCGTCGTAAAAGGACTTCGGGATTATAAGGAAAAAGATGTTTCCGATTTAGACTGCTAATAGAAGTTTTCAGAGAAAGCAAGCAGCACTTTGCATCCATAAAAGATATTCTCTTAACTCTCTCATTCTTTCTGTCAAACACACAACCTTCTTTGCATTCTACCCCAGGAGATGAGGAATTTGAATCATCCTCCAATAATGTGGTGCCAAAACCATCCTGAAATTCTACGGCATTTGCCAAAAATTTTTGCCTCTTTCGACGTGATGAATTTGCAGATTTTCCCACGGCTGGAAATTCCACAAACAGCTTCCATGAGTTGCACACGATTCTCAGGCACCTGAAGTAACCATAATCAAACAAATCAAAATCTATAATGAGCAACATAACCAACCATTTAAGGACATAAGCCAAAGTTAAAGCTACATCATGTCTACACAAACATAAACAAAAAAGTAGCAATACTTCAAAAGGTATTCTGCAGATCTAGCTCCAGTATCCTTCGAGATGAGGTAATCCAAAAGGACTTGATGATCATACACTATCTATCAAAAAGAAAATGAAAGATAATTAGAAGAAGCAACATAAAGTGAAGAGACAAAAGGTAAATCATAAACAGAAGTTTAAGATCTGCTCAAATGATGCCACATGAATTCACCTCGGCAAGAAACAAATGAAAAAAGAGTACAGGGTTCAGAAGGTCTGAGATAACAATTATGAAGTCCTTTTTTGTTGATGACAAAGTCTCTCCCACGTCAATCCTAAAAGTAATGACAAGAAAGGAATTAATACATAACAGATTAACCTTCACAAATATCAATAATTGTAACAAGGAGATGAACGATGTACCCCTCGGTGCAGCGTGGGACTGAAAAGAGTTGCAAAAGCATTTCAAATAGTAAATCGTCCTGTGAATCGAAGAGGAAGCAATGCAAAATGTGTTATAACAAAAGCAACATACAAAAAAAAAAACAAAAAAATAGAGAAAGATGGAATTCCAATAATCATCATCTGTTCATTCTACCAAGATTCTGAAGTTAGATCATCAGGAATAGAAGACTTAGTAACCAGTCTATAAACAACAATGATGAAGCAGAAGGATATATCTGCTGAGGGAAGAATGCAACTGTACTATATTTTGGTAAACAGCGTATCAGCCAGTGTTGAAGTCCATTTTTTAAACCAAGCTAGCATGGCAACAGACTTCATAACACTACAACATAAATCCATGTGAACATCTCCTATTATCTAAACAATAAGAGTAAATGGAGAAATGAGCATACAAATATTAAAGGACATTAAAGCGTAAAGGGTTGCCAAGAAACAAACCCTTGAAAACAAGAGAACAAAGTATTCAACTTATCACCTCATGCATGAATAGCTTCAAAAAGGATTGCGCAAAGCCCGTGCATCCTTGCAGGTACTCTCTATGATCCACAAAAATATCAGTAGGGAGATGCCTCATTAGCCACTTATGGAAGACTGATACCCCTTCACTTTCTCTGAAAAAATTTGTTTGCATATGAAGGTCTAAGGCAGTGCAAGAGACTGGATTTATTATGGGGAGCTGCTTGTCAGCTTTCTCTTTTAAGTTCTCCAAAATCAAGGAGCACCTAAGAAGAAAGAAAACAACAAGCCTTTGTAAATGCCGAGATGAAATATATCTCTCAGCATCAAAATCATCTGCCCAGAAAGGGGAACCTTCTAGAGAGTCCTGATTGTACTCGTTCACTCTCTCCAGAGGCTGCAAAAGTAGGTCTTGAAAGTAACTTTCAATAATATGCAACCACGAAATGATATCTGAACACTCCAAATGCTCTTGTGCAACAAGCCTAATCAACAGCATCTGCATGGTAAAACCTTTCGTAAGAAGAGACCTCTAACACACAGTTACGCAGAACAGCAGGAATAGGAGCGGACTAACATAGGGCAAACAATTATTATTAATACGTTTGATGAGAGGTGTTTAACTGAAAAATTAGCCAGCAAGAAAGTTGACTTTAGATGATATGTTCATATATAAATACCACTGAAAGCAACAAATCCAAAGCAATGCGTTGAAATTATTTATCATCCAAGGATTCCGATAGCTGAAATAATTTGGCTACTCTGGAGATGCACAAATGCAATAATGAGACTCACATTATATATATATATATAGACACACAATAGACTATAAGTTTCACAGCAAATATCCTAATACTCCAGGTACAACACTCTGGGGCTTGAAAGAATCCTTCGTTTCATGCTCTCCAAATTAGAAGCACAAGAACAACAATCCAAACATTACTAAACAATGAAAACTGCATTTATTTCATTTGGATTCAGAAAATGCAGTCAGGATTTCAAAAAGAAAATCAAAGTGAAACAAAATGGCCTAAGTACTTAGTACCACACTGCAGCAAAAAATTACAAACTTCCTTATGATAGCTGCAAAATATTCATTTAGAGACTGCTATTTCACCATTTTCGGAGCATTCATCTCAAAAACACAATGTGAGCAGAGTAAAGATGAAGGTCAACATTAAATCAAGATGGAAGTCAAATTGATGACAAATCAGAAATGTTCATACCAAAATCTTGTGTCTCAAATAATGACAGATGCGAGCATCACCCAAATTTTCTGGCTTCGTAATGCAGTGAACAAGTTTTGGTATCACATCTTTTATTTGAGAAATAACAGGAGGGACAACAGTAGTGCCTTCCGCTTCAGTCAGGTCACTCACATCAACCAAAGAACAACAAAGTTGAACAAGATTTCCATGAAATATAGCTAGTGCCTTTGACTGAACAGCACCATGCTGAAGCAAATTATGCCCCCCTGAGCCTGCTAAAGAGTCATAATATGATTCTGCATAAACCTCATTGAGCAAATCCCATGGCAAATGTGAAAAGGTATCAGTAATCAGTTCCAGGTACATTTCCAAGAGCTTAACATCCCCATTCGATCTCAAAAGTTTCAAAACATCACGCAGAACACGAAGAATAGAAGCAGCAGTTACATAGTTCAGGTTTTGCAATCTCGTCGTCCGTGGTAAAACAGAGATCAATGAGTTGAATTCTGAATCCTCAGCTTCAGAATCTACTTCAGAAACTGAAGATGACAGAAGATTCCGAAGTGCAAATTTCAACCAGCAGCATAGCAATTGGATATATTCCTCCCAGTGAGTTTCCTGAAAAATGAGTACTACTGGGAAAATCGAAGAATAAAACCAATTAGAAGAGAACAAAGTTACTCACTTTAGCATACCCATGAAGAGGAAAACTCAGAAATGGCTACAAGGATTTTTGCTGCCAAGTGTTGGATGAGAGGCTTCTGAATACTAATAAAAGATATCTGCAACAAAGAATTATGTCAGCAAGAGTACAGAGATGGTGGTTCTTCTCATTTAACTACACTGAAAAAGAGAAAATGACGTAAAGGGAGCCAAAGCTGCTCAGGAAAGTAGATTGGTTAATAAATTGAGAAGGATTCAAAAGGCATCCTGAGCCATCATTTCCCCGAAAACCTGTTTGAGGTTACCAACATGAAATCTTTTTTTAAATGGATAAAGTTGGACTTCAAGATCAATTTCAAACTAGAAGCAGCATATTTGCTTTCCCTATTTAAGGAACGCTAATTGGCCATCCTCTCTTTGAACCCCTAAACTTAGCTATTTTTAGGGATGCAGAGCCCGTGTCACTACACTTGCCATCCTTTTGGGAAGAGGTGTTGGAGAAATATGGCTCAAGCTCCGGAAGAGATGGAACAGTGATCTATCACATTTGGGAGGTGAGAAATATGTTATTTTTCACTAAAAGAGGTGATCCAGAGAATTTTCTTCTCCTTAAAGATGAATCTGTCCAAAATTCATAAAATGAAAAATACTTGCAAGCACGGGCAGTGGTGCAATTTGATGAAAATCTGCCCCCAGATCAACTAAATAGATAGATTTTGCTATTCCATGTGGTGATCCTATTTTGTTTTGGTATATATTTGGTAGCAAGTAAATATTCTTGATGTAGCAATCTTTTGAGGAAAACTGAGATTGTATCTAATTCATAATCCAACGGAATTGAAATTCAACTTTCATCCAAAATAAATAAATAAATAAATTTACAGTAAAACGAATTTCACTGACACCAAATACAGATCATCTCAAAATCCTTTTTGCTAGCTTCAATCCCACCATAACGAAATATCCAATAAAATCTATTCACGAATCCGAGACAAACAGTGCAATGAACTAAGTTCTTATAGCCTACAATTTGAGTGCTACTCTATGAAAGAAACACTAACCAAGTAAGCAACCATGTTTTCCAAACAGTGATGTTCATGAGGTTGAGAGCCAGATGCAAAGCAAGACTGGCTAGCATCCTTTGGTTCAGATTCCTCTGCACTGACCTAGTAAGCTCAAAAGAAAGAGCAGCCCCACCAAAGTTCAGACATTAGTGATGTCCTAATGTTTTTTTTAAAACGAAAAAAAAAAAAAAAAAAAAAGGATTGGTACTGAGGAAATAAGAACAGGAGTCAAATGGTCTTACTTCATCAGAATCAGATTCAAGCTCAAGTATCCACTGCTTAATTTGTCCAAACACCTGTAGTGCAAGAATCATGTTTCAAATTAAACCGTAAAAATCGAAATAGTACATAATTGCAATGATTCAAACTTGAAGAAAACTCGCCTGGGAAAGAGAAATCAAGAGGTCTTTTTCAATTTCTGGAGTAATAGAACTTGCCACAAATTCCTGCCAAAGACAAAAGACAAATTGATTGGAGCAATTTCTTCCTGAAATTACGTCATCGAATGAATAGAATGAAGGTTGCCTTGAACCTACGCAATCTGGAGGAAGACAGTGGGTGATAAGTCGGCAAAGCCGTGAGTAAAATTCCTCAATATCCATTGTTTCGATTCAAGTGAGTATCACAAAGACCTTCTTCCCCAATTTTTGGAGGGAAAAAGATAAACTCCTCCGTTCTGTTTTTCTGCTCCGCTATGTTTGTGTTTATTTTTATTTTTTTTTTTTTTTTTTGTTAAGGTTTTTATGTCGCGGTTAACTTGACGGTTTAAACGGTCTTTTTTCTTTTCCCTCTTTTTTTTTTTTTTTTTTCCTTTTATCCTCTTTCCAGAGCTCGTGGAATGAACTATGAAATCGCCTCTATAGCAACTCAACTCGTCCGAAGATGCACTTCCACAGCGTCGATCACAAAAGCCCGTCAAATCCATGGGCTGCTGCTGACATCCGCCGCTGCCAATTCTCTAGTTCCATATGTATTCAACAACATCATCTCCATGTACAGTCGATGTGGATCTTTGGAGGATTCTCAACTTGTGTTCGACAGAATTCCTCAAAGAACTATTGTGTCATACAATGCCCTTATTTCTGCCTACTCTCGGGTTTCTTATCATGCCCCAAAAACTTTTCAGTTGGTCAGGCAGTTGGGAAATGAGACATTCAGACCCAATGGGTCTACTTTCATTAGCCTCTTACAAGCTTCGTTGAGTCTTAAAGATGTAGTCATTGGGTTTCTTCTTCATGCTCAGTGTTGCAAGTTTGGTTTCTTAAATGATGTGTGTGTTCAAACCTCTCTTGTTAGATTGTATTCCAGTTGTGGGAACTTGGGATTCGCGGAGGAGGTTTTTGATTCTATGGTTTGTAAAGATACTACATCTTGGAATAATGTTATTTACGGATATATGGAAAACGATTTGATGATGGAAGGACTCAAGAAGTTTGACAGCATGTTATCAAGTGGTGCAAATCCTGATCAGTTTACGTATTCAATGGTATTGAATGCTTGTGGTAGATCGGGAGATTACAGGAGGGGGAAACTTATTCATGCACGGTCTATTATCTCCGGGACATGTTTTGATGTGCCTTTGCGCAATGCCCTACTCGATATGTACTGCAGTTGTGGCGACTGTGATACTGCATTCCGTGTTTTCAGGGGAATTGTTTACCCGGATTTAGTTTCATGGAATACAATGATAGCTGGATGTTCGGAGGCTGGTGATGGAAAGAGGGCGATGGAAATGTTTGTTCAGCTTGTGGGAGGATTCACTACGAAACCAGATGAGTATACTTATGCACCGGTTGTATCTGCCACGGGATCTTTTCCAGCATCTGAGTATGGCAAACCGCTCCATGCACAGATCACGAAAGCAGGACTGGAAAGGAGTGTTCACATTTGTAGCACGCTGATCTCAATGTATTTCAGCAATGGTGAAATTGAATCAGCTCAACAGATTTTCTCTTCAGTTTCAGAAAAGGATATGGTGATTTGGACTGACATGGTGGCCGGTAATTGTAGAATAGGCAATTGCGAAAGCGCCATAGGAATTTTCAAAGATATGTTACAAGAAGGATTCCAGATTGATAGCTATGCTTTAAGCAGTGCAATAAGTGCATGTGCTGACCTTGCAGCTCAGAGGCAAGGGGAAATGCTTCATTCTTTGGCTGTGAAATTGGGATATGATGGAGAAATGACTGTTTGTGGAAGTCTAGTGGATGTGTATGCTAAAGTTGGGGACATTAAAGCATCTGAGTTGGTATTTTCTCAAGTGATTAGGCCTGATTTAAAGTTCTGGAACTCCCTGCTTGGTGGATATGGTCATCATGGCAGAGCAGAAGAAGCATTTCTAGTTTTCGATCGCATCGTAAAACAAGGTCTAAAACCAGACCACGTGACATTTACATCCCTCCTTGCCGCTTGTAGCCATTGTGGTTTGGTCAAGGAAGGAAAATACTTCTGGAATTGCATGAAGGAGACAGGTTTAAAACCCGGGCCGAAACACTACTCCTGCATGATAACGTTGTTGAGTCGAGCTGGGTTGCTGCAGGAAGCAGAAGATACAATCAAAGAATCACCTTTCGGAGATGGCTATCTGGATTTATGGAGGACTCTTTTGAGTTCTAGTCTTGAGAAAGGAGATTCCGTGATAGCGACGCACGCAGCTGAGCATATCTCCCGTATAGATACAGAAGACACTGCAACAAATGTGCTGCTGGCCAAACTTCATGCTCTGGAGGGAAGATGGGATGGTGTGGCTGAAACAAGAAGAAAGTTCAGAAAATCACCGGTGGTCGGAAGAGATGCCGGAGTAAGCTGGACAACAGTTATGAGTAGGTAACACGAGTGGGGTGAATCAAGCCGAGCTGGACAAGCCCAGGTGGACGGAATGGGGACAAAAAAACTGAAATCAGAGCAACTTAGGAATAGGGACAAAATGAGCAATCCATAATCAAATCCACTTGCAGTTCCACATCAGCAACATCCTGAGCCTGAGCCAATAGAAACCCAGTATTAGATATTCAACATCCATTCACAATTTCACAACCACCATCCAAACCATATTCCATCTGGCAATTCCACATCCACTCACCACCCTATTTTTACTTGAGTTTTCCTTCTTCCTTCCTGGCTCATACAACCCATTTCTTCCCCTTCCCACTTCACCTAGTCTTAGTTCCTCAACCTTTATACTACGTAGAAAATGGCGGCCATTGCAGCTTCAACCGCTGCATCATCACTCGGAGTTTCGGAGTTGTTCGGGACTTCTTTCAACTTCAACAGCTCATCATCAAGGGCTGCTGCTCCGACTTCATCAGCCTCAACTGGTGGCAGTGTAAAAACTGTAGCAATTTTCTCAAAGAAGCCAGCTGCCAAGCCTAAGCCTGCAGCTGCTGCTTCTCCCCTTGATGACGAGCTCGCCAAGTGGTATGGTGAGTAGTTAGCCCACTTGCTCATCCCATGTTAGAATCACTCGTATTGAATTGTTTTCCATTCTAAATAGCTCAGTAATTATGCTGTAAATAGCTAGATTAGATTGGCTGTGTTGGCATAGTTTGTGTGAAGTAATGTTCTTTCAGTTCCTTGGGTACAATTACAACCCAAAAAGAAAACGCCCTTTCTAGTTACTTACCGTCAAGCTTTACTCATTTCTCATTGAACAGGACCTGACAGAAGAATCTTCTTGCCTGAGGGGCTCTTGGACAAATCAGAAATCCCTGAGTACCTTACCGGAGAAGTTCCTGGAGAGTGAGTTAACAACACTTCTAATCATCCAACTCTACTTTTTCCTCATTATCATTAACATGTGCTAAACCCACCTCCTCTCTGTTTATGCAGCTACGGTTATGATCCTTTTGGTCTCAGCAAGAAACCTGAAGACTTTGAGAAGTAAGTCAGCCACAATTTGTTGTATTTTTTCATCTAAAGAGATTTAGTGGCCTCTTTGATCAATGAGACCTACGTTGTAACTATGAAATGTGATGCAGGTATCAAGCATATGAATTGATTCATGCCCGGTGGGCCATGCTTGGTGCTGCTGGCTTCGTTATCCCTGAAGCCTTCAACAAATTCGGAGCCAACTGTGGTCCTGAAGCTGTTTGGTTCAAGACTGGAGCATTACTCCTGGATGGAAACACACTGAACTACTTTGGAAAGAACATCCCAATTAACCTTGTGGTTGCTGTCGTCGCCGAAGTTGTTCTTCTTGGTGGTGCTGAGTACTACAGAATCATCAATGGACTGGTATGATGATGCTCTCTATTGCTGTTACTGCATTTTGATGATTAATCAAACATGTGCCTCTTGATTTGGCTTCATTTCCTGACTTGTCTTCTACCTAATTGTGGACTGTAGGATCTGGAAGACAAGCTTCACCCAGGTGGTCCCTTTGATCCCTTGGGGTTGGCCAAAGACCCTGACCAGTTTGCTCTGCTAAAAGTGAAAGAGATCAAAAATGGTAGATTAGCCATGTTTGCAATGCTTGGGTTCTTCATCCAAGCTTATGTCACCGGACAGGGTCCAGTCGAGAACCTCGCAGCTCATTTGAGCGATCCCTTCGGCAACAACTTGCTCACTGTCATTTCTGGAAGCGCCGAATAAGCTAATCACCTTGTAACACTTTTTGCTTGTAATTCTACATCTGTTCGTTCAATCAAACATGTTATCCGATGAGACATTGTACAATTATTCTAAAGGGGCCTCAAGGATTTATCAACCTTCTTAACATTGAATCCCGGAAGTCATTCATCTGGATATATTAGAGTTTGGGTCTTAATAGACTGTAGTTTACAGTTCGTGTGTTACTTATCATCATAATGTGATACATAAAGAAGTAATCATAATATCTAAACCTACGTAATTTATGAAATGAAATATTTCAATCAACATAAGTCTATGAATTACAATCTGAAAACAGGCTTTTTGGAGAAATGACAATGAAATATGGAATTCCTCCGATCGAGGATGTCAGTCGCGGGACAGGATTCAAGAATAATCCTCTGAAAAGCTTTGCTTTTAACCTAATTCTGGAAATTACATTCGGATTCGGTATTCACCAGTTATTTACAGGAGACGTGAATGCAATTTACCACAAACCAAGCATTCGGAGGTTTGGCTTGGCAGATGCCAGTTTCGCCAAATGGTTTCACTTCAACATACTATCACTACACAATGATCACATAAGAGTGACCAATCACTGTTAACATTGAAGACATACGGGCTGAAGAGGAAGTTTGATGAAACACTCATAGCACCCAAGAACGGGTGAAATCTAAATCCTACGCCATCAAGATAGCAGTTACATTCCAATCGATATACTCTTTGGCCGCTGAAGATCTTATCTCACACATCGTTCGCTAAGAAATGGTGACAAAAAATTGCATACGCAATACAGTACCTTTTTTGTTTTTGGGTGGGGTGTGGGGGGAGAAGGAAAGAACAGTGTACAAGGTTACAGAGTACTCAATGTCTCAATCCAGAGATAATGCATCAGCAACAAGATTCTCGAGTAACCGTAATTCCAATATGTTTCAGCCGTGTGGGACTCGAATATAAAAAGGGAACCTTGCACTCAACAAACAGCAGTTCCCAGGCTGGATGAAGCTTGACTGCCTGGTGACATTATGCAAACAGCAGGTCGTTCATATAGCTGCTGCTAAAGTTGATTAACGTCGTCTAGAAGCTGTTCTTGGCTTCGGCCTCTGCAAGAAGCAGGAAATACAAGGTAAGTTACAGAAGCTGCAATTACACATATAAGCAAGGATCACTCAAACACAAGACAAGTTTTTGTCTCCAGAAGGTGTCATTTACAGTTCTGTGGTCTTGAAAAAGCACAAATTACAACTGCTGTTTTAAGAGCAATTCCTTCTTTCTATCACAACAATTACTACAACAGCGCCGATTTCGTGGATAGTTTCTTCTGCGTTGCATTTCCCATTCCAATTAAAGAAGTTGGACTAGCATATTGAATTGCCAGCACAATGTGAATTCAACAGCTATCCCTCAATACCTATCAAACCAAAAGTGGTTTGCCATGCAAAAGATGCAGATGGAAAGGAAGAAGACTTTGAAAGAAGGGATCAAAAAAAAGGAATCCACATGACTTAATTGGAAAAAAAAAAAAGGAAACATCCATTATTTGCATATCAATGCCCAATATATCTAAGTAATAAATCTCTGGCAGCACAATCAGATCTTCATGTGCTATACCCACTGAGGCAGAGAAGATCTTTAACTATTCATATATATGTGCATCCATGAGTCTCCAAAAATATTACAACCTCCAATGACGACCACATCATTTAGTTAACTCATGTCAACATCAAAAAGTTAAATTCCTGCAAACCGCCCCCGAACCATCCGAAAGACCAGTCACTCAGCACAACTGAAATAGGTTAGTTGGTTTATTCGAAGCGGACGAGGCTCATGCTCATATCCGATGTATTTTCATCTAAAGCTCAAGTTTGCAAAGGATCAACAAGCAACCGACAGCATGTGGCCACAAATAACGGTCAGAAATTCATAGCTTCAACAGAGTAACGATGACAGTGTAGACAGATTTTTACCATGAGGATTGATTATTATAACAAACAAATTGGCCAGTAAGGAATAGATTGCCAAAACATATATGGTACCCACTACATACAAAGTTTTCTATATAGGAGAGAAGAACTTACACTTGAGGTAAAGCTACTCCCTAATCCTGTTGCAGGACCTACAATAACAGAACTACAGTGTTAGAAAGTTAATAAATTACAGATAATTGCAATGTACAAAATAAGACAAATTAATAAACAAACAATGAGCACCAGATCTGGTAGATGTTTTTTGAGTAAGTTAAAGGATCATGTCTGAGGTGTCACCTTAAAAAGTACCAATCTACGAGTGTACAATCCATAATGTTTGTTCTATGAATGCCTACTGATATAATAGATCGGCTACCAAACTACCAATCTAGAAAGACTAGTACATCTGAGTCCAAGCTATGGCATCAACAACATTGTTGCAAACAATTTTAGCAACATCTGGTGAAAAACAAGATAAATGAGTAACCTTCAGCGCCCAATTTAAACTAAATGGGTGAGTAATAGAACCTGAGTTATGCATTATCCTGATTCTGATAAATAAAGCCAGAAAGTACTTCTACATATTGGCATAGCGAATGACTGACAGCAAACATCTTGAGCACATAGTGGTTTTAACTGGTCTATATAACCAAAACTTACTTGACAAAAAGCCATACTTTCTGTGCATGATTCAAGAGTTAAAACTCCAATAAATAAAGATGATTTCTATGTGGTAGAAGTTAGAAATTCCCACAATTAGCAACTAGAGTTTAAGAAAACCCTCGAAGTAGTACCTGTAGCAGGCGGTGTTGAAAATGTTGACGCCCCAAAAGCAGGAGTGGAAGACGAAAGGGTTCCAAAAAGTGATGGCTGTGGAGAAATGGCAGATTGTCCAAACACGGACTGTGAAGCTGATGTTGCTGGAGTAGAGAACATGGAAGAAGAAAAGGCAACACTGGAAGGAGTACTTAAGAGGGAAGCTGATGTAAAGGCTGTGGTTGTAGGTTGAGTTGCTAATGCCCCAACCCCCACTGAACTTGACGATGACCCAGCAACTTGAGTGGATGATTGTGGAGGAGCAGGCAAATGCAGGGTTGGATGAACTCTTCGAGCAGCAGCTTCTTGTTTTGCTGTTTCACGCCGATCAGCCTCGAGAAATGGATCATTGCCATCTCCTCGCCGGCGTTGGTCAGCTAGATATGCAGTCTTCATGGATTCAATATACTGGTGAATGCTCTCCACCTGCAAAATAAGTTATTAACAAAGCATTAGCAATAGGAAGGAGATGACAACCAGCATAATAAAGGAATAGCCAAATTAAAGATTGAGCATTTAAACAATAATAAAAGTTCTCTTTATGTACAAGATGGGGTATTCAGTAACTAACTAAGATTTACAAACTTCAACAGTCAGCGGAGAGAATTCCAAAAAAACCTCATAAAAGAAACATGACAAACTGGAAGGTGAGGAAGATAAATGGACAGAGGAGAAAAGAACCAACTCATAGGGAGGTGAGAAATGTGCATCAAAGTTGATTTATCCCACTGCTCTTGGTCACCATGAGGGTACGCAAAGAGAAACACCCGAGGCTGTTTCAAAAATTTTATCTATACCTCAGGAATTCCATTACTGCTTTCTCAACATTCAAAACTATCCCCACTCACTTTAGGGCTTTAGGAAAAGAGAAGTGAACAAATCACTTTCAGTTATTTCATACCAGATGTCATGTTAAGTGTATGAAAAACCATTACCTGTCTTCAAATGAAAAATGAAGAATGGTAGCAAATTAAGAGGATAATTATCACTTAAATTTGACACGAGTAAGCAAGAAAACACAGATTATCAGCCTTCAGGCTCTGCTACGCAGATTATAAATGGAAAAACTAATTGACCTGAGAGTTGTGTTTGCAGAAGTTGTTCTAATTTCAGTCGCTCAGACTCCAAAAACGATACGAGAAGCAAAGCAAGCTTCTTAATCTTCGCGATACACGAGGAAATAATTGAAACTTCTTCAGTATGACAATGTCAAAGGTGACGACCACTATTTATATAACTTTCACAAGGAACACTGGAACTCTTAAATACTACGTTAAATGTAACCTTGCTTACCTTTGCAGCCACATGTACAAAAAATTCATGAACATTTGCCATGACTTTCGGAAGAGATTGCAATAAAGATGAAGTAGAGTTTAAGGAATCCCGGTCAGCATCTAAAAGAATCAACTGTTCTAACTCTTCAATCCACTGGCGACACTCGGAAATTTGCTTCTCAAATCTTATAACAGTCTGCTGAAGAAAAGGTGATGGTTTCTTTGGTATACCACTGTAGAAATCAAAAACTGGCACTATTGAGGTAGCAGCAGGCTGATTAGTTGATGTTTGAGCAACCAGGACTCCTGAACCTGGGGTTGATGCATTAGCAATGGTTTCATTATCCACACTTGAGTGAAGAAACCTTGGCCGTAACATCATAAAAGAACGGACAGCAACCTCCGTGTTGCGCAACATATCTTTTGCTACAGCCATTAGTTCTTGACAAATAGCCTTATGTCGATCCATCGTTGAACTAATTCCACCAAGTTCCTGACAAATGATGTTAGATAACATTATACTGACACAGCCAATAAGAGCAACATGCTACCAGTAGAAACCACGCCAACTAACAATGGCAAAAGCCTAAATCAACAAGAAGAAATTCTCGAGTAAGTAACATCATGAAGATCTCTACATTTTTGGATTGAACACTCTTCGAACTTTTTACATTAGCCAACAGAGAAGATGAGCCTAAAATTCAGTGAACATCCGTGGATGATCATCTGAGGTTACATGAAAGTTTCATAGACTCAAAAATAGTGGAGGTGCGGCTCTGCGCACAATAGTTAAAACATTGTGAGAAAATGATATGTAAACTTGCATAAAAATGCCATCTAACAGCAACTGATATTTACTCCGAACAATGGTCCTACAATTCCAGAGACTGGGTATAGGTTCAAAGCCAAAAATTACAAACCAATTTTCAGGTAAGTATACTGAAAGCTCAAACCGGTTCTAAGCTTGCTCAATGCAATCTGCATCTTTATACATTTTCTTTAAATTTGAAAGATGCAGCCACAGGATATGATGCTTGCGTTAAAGATGAACTCTAAGAATTGATTTCCAACATCTATCTGTTGACTAAGAGTTTTAGAAATTCATTGTTCAGATGGAGAAAGTAAGCTTATGTACAATTGCAGGTTTCTTTTTTTTTTTCCCCCAACGACCACAGACTATCAAAATCCTTTCAACTGAACTCTGGCAAAATTTTAAAACAAAAAAAAAAAGAATAACTAAACGGAATCCAAAAGAAGGAAATTTTACAGAAGATAACCTGGAAAACTCGACTAGCATCAAGCTCAAATCCACCATTCAAGACCGACGAATCATAGAGGCGGCTACATTGATCAAGTCGCTGGCTTTCGTCTCTATACTCCAATACTCTCTCCCTGTAAACCATCCATAAACAGGAATAATTAAACAACCATGCCAAATACCAAGACTCACAACATAAAGACGCAAACTTTTCACAGGGTCTCCCCGTAATTGGAAGCTCTACATACTCAATTTGCAGGAGAAACTTCTGAGAATCTGGGTGTAGGTCAGCCCATTTAGTACCATAAGACACCGGCACCTTATCGTTCGTCAATAGCAACAGCTGCTGCTGCTGATTCTGCTGTTGAGCTTGAGGCTGAGCCTGAGGAAACCCAAGTTGTTGCTGCTGCTGCTGCGGCTGCTGCTGCGGCTGCTGAGCTTGCGATTGCCATTGAAATGGAGAACTCTGCGTTTGCGGCTGGGTATTTTGGTTGAACGAAAACAGGTTCGATTGCGGTTGCTGCAGCGGAGTTTGGAAAATCGAAGAAGTTTGATTCTGCGGTTGCGTAAAGGAGAAAGCCATTGGTGGCTCTGCTTCAAGATTATTGCTGTGAATTCTTCAATCAATTTGGGCACATTCGGGGAAATTTGAGTTCTTCCCTAATCAATAGAAACGGGAGTTCGTCGGAATTTTACAAAACCTCAGTTCAAAACCCTAGCTAGCAAAAAGGCGCCATTGCGGTAGTATTCAATTTAGGGGCAAAAACAGGGCTCGGTGAATAATTTTCCAAAGGCGAAAATTCCTCTTCTTGATTTGTCACAAAACGAGGTCGTTCCGACTAAATTTGCACATTTACTCCTTACAATGTATCAGAATGTTATGGAGCTCCCCCAAATCTCTTTCTTCATCAGTTCATCTAGTAACATCAAATTGAAAAGTTAATGAAAATAAGATAATTGAGACTACAGTGAGAAATCGACACTGACTTTGCATATTAATTGAGGTGGTAATCAGTTACCAATAATGATTAATGAACCACAAAATATGTGTTTTTTTTGTTTTTGGTCGAAAAAGCAGATTTCATTCATATATACAAGGCTAGATGCCTTGTTTAAAAGACGTACATGCACCTAAATAAATATAAGCTCGGATTTACTATTTATTAATAAAATAATAATTAAATAAATTTTGTTGAATAATAGTTTTTAAAAATTCTTAAATGAATGGTTCTGCCCGGATTTCCGAAATCCGAATTTAGTTAAAAAATAATAAATTGAGGCGCGAAATATTTGAACTCAAATAAGGAGTCCAGGACCTGAACTCCTTAAATAAACAGTAGTACTCGGATTTACAAAATCCGAGAGTACAAAAAGAAAAAAGAAAAAAAAGAAAATCGTGGCGTGAAATTTTTTAATCCAAAAACCGGAAATCCGTAATCCGGTTTTACGAATTCGGATTTTGGAAATCCTACTGCCTTTAATTTTGGTTGGTGGAAGTAGACATGTGCCATAAATTGGAGGACCAAAAAATGAATAAAATAATCCGAAATTGACCAAATCCGGATTCAGGAAATCCGAGGCCACTGTAATTTGGATTTCGAAAATCCGAGTTACTTACGGACTCGGATTTCGTAAATCCGAGTTTAACGTGCTATAAAAGAAAAAAAAAATTCAGACAGTTCTCATTCGAGGGTTGGATTTTCTGTTTTTGCAACTCAAACAAGGGCGAATTGGAGGTTTTGATGCATTCTTGCCTCTAGATACGTGGGAATCGTTATTTGAAAGAAGTTAGATTGCAAAATCATGTTATTTAGTTTAGTTTTGTGTTATTTTGATTGTTAGAATGATGTATGATAGATTAGGGTTTATGTTGGTTGGTTGTTTGGATGTTTTAGGTGTTGATTGTGAGGTTAGAGATGAGAAATCATAGTTGTTCATGAGATATGGAAGTTGATTTATAAGTATTTTAGTATTTTATAGGTTTTTTGAATTATGAATGGAGTATGTATGGTGTATTTGATTTTGTTATTAAGAAATGATTAGTTATTGATGTTTTTTTTAACAGTTATCAATGGCACGTAATATATCATACATGCTTAATTTATATCATACAAGCAAGTATGTGATAGAGAATGGTAGCATCAACACTTTTTTGAATATGCGGGATGATTGTTTGTTTGTTGAGGAAAGGTTGTCATATGAGGGATTGATTAGTAAGATTTGTATGACACTTGGTTGGGATCCAGCACACGTGAAACTCCACCTTTCTTTGATTTTCGATAGTCCCGGTGGTAGGTGTGTAGTGAATATCAAGAATGATTCGCATGTAGAGTTCATGAACCGTGTAGATCCAATGTCATGTTTGGATTTATACAAAGATTTGGAAGATATCACTCAAGAAGAAAGATAAGCGAGTTTGGAAAACATGTCATTTGGTGGTTTTCCAAGGGGGGAACGTGCTCGTACTTCTCGAAACTGTGATGAAGAGACACCTTTATTTGTACAAAATGACTACCGGGAAGAGTCGGATTCTGACTACAAAGCTTCAAGTGAAAGCGAAGAAGACTGTGATGTCTCCAGAGAGAGTGATTTTGAACAAAGTGATGATGAAAGGTTGGTGTTTTAATTGGTGTTTTAATTGGTGTTTTAATTATTTTCTCTTTAGACGTTATAATTTAAAATTTTAACATTATTATTGCAATTTACTAGGTATGGGCGTATGAGCGGATCGAGAGAATCGCGCCACAAAGAAAAGGAGTAGATTATTTGATTGATGAGACTGCTCCATTAGCTCAGCGGTACGTATTTTCAGTTCAAGTAACTCAATGTTTATTTCTATTTGTTTCTTATTCATTTTTTTAACTAATTCAAATGTACCCCTTTGTTCATTAAGGTGGGAATGTAGGTACACCTATGGCGATGCCCAAAAGAGTAGCACCCCACCTTTTAGAGATCAATTAACAAGCCTGCGTGTTGAAGATGTAAGTACTTGTAATTTGGTATTTATATTTACTTTGAATTTCTTTTCGTTCCGGTTATACCATCTAATGAAATTCTGTTCGTGCAGTTTCGGTGACAACCATATGCACATGTCCTTCATAGACTCCTTGATTTCTGTACACAAGGCCAAGCCATTTGGACGACCAGGTGTTGGATGTTATGTTGGGCTATTGGGGAACCCCACGAGTCGGGCTGAGTTGTGAGGCAATTTGAATACATACAGGATGTTCCCAAGCACCCTATGATTAAAGATAACGCAACATTCCTTCTCGATCACGGCCACAGTATGTCTGAGTATCCTAGCAACAATTGGATGGACCACCATTCCGCAGTACGTCGTCATTGGAATAGGAGAGAAGAGTACGTGTTATGAGGTTCAGAGGAAGGAGACCATGGCTCTGTATATGAGGGGTACTATGAATGGTTCATGGTAAACACTGTCAGACTGATATCCAATCCCGGTAATTATGAACCTCAAGGATACGAGACTTCTTCGAGCCGAGTGAAATTATATGTGAGTTCATTCTATATTTCTTTTATTATTTCTTATGTTTTCATTTTTTTTTCATTTTTACTTTTTTAGAATTTTACTCTCTTAATTAACGTCCCAATTTCTTTTCAGGGTGAAGTATTGAACCACATTCCCGTGAGTATCGAGAAGTTTAGAGAAAAACGAGAAGATGAGAATCTCCTAGACGAAGAACTCGACAAGCATTTGGACGATATCATCAATCAAACACATGCTGCTTTAACCCTGGGCGCAAATGATGAGATGGAGGTGGAGGATACCTAAATCCTGGTTGATGAAGATCTATCTTTGCCCTCACAACCTCCGCAGGGTAAAAAAGCGAAACCGTGGTCGAGAGATAAGATTGGAGGAGGAAAAAGGAGGAAGGTCCCAATCCCCCCTCGGCAGGGCCCAAACAAATACATTCTGGATGCGCACAATAAAGAAAAAGGGAAAAAATGAGACATTTGATGTATTTTGCACATTTAAAGTAGTTTTTGTATTGATTTTGGTATGAAACTTGATTTGTTTTGTTGTTAATCGAATGCCATTTATTGTTTTGTTGCCATTAAATTTCTGTTTTCCAATGTTTCATTGTTATTGGTGCTGTAAACAGGTTTAGGACTGGTGAAAACCAGTCCAATTTTTTTTTCAGTTCTGACAAAGACTCGGATTTGCGAAATCCGAACTCAGACTTTTTGTAAAGGATTCAAATTTCGGAAATCCAAGTCTGTAGCCAACTGAGAGTTAGCATTTTTCAGAAAACAGAGGAGATTCGGATTTCGGTAATCCGAATATACGTATATTCGGATTACCGTGATCTGGGTTTTCCCAAATTTAATTTTTCAACACATTTTTTTTTCTATTCGGAAATTAATATTTTATTCATAAATACGGATTTATAAAATCCGGATTTAGATTAATTACACTAATTTCTGTCATTAACTTAATATCGGATTTACGTAACTCAAAGTCAGATTTTTATAATCCGAGTTTATCGAGGTTCGGATTTTCGAAATCCGAGTTTCACCTCCATTCGGATTTCCTAAATCTAGGACATATAAGTTTGTCCACAAACTTTTTGAAAGGTTTATTTTTGTCCAGGTATACATAATGAAATATATTTAAGGAAAAAATTCCAGAGTTTGGAGTTAGGGGGTGCAAAGTTAAATTAATAGAACAAGTACTTAATACTTCAAAAAATAACAAGATCACTCATAATTTACACAGTTTTTTCTCATTAAAAAAATATATGACATTGAAAACAAGACCACTCATAATTTATACATTTTTGGCAACTAAGAGTTGTAATATTACGAGCTTATTGTCCAATGTAAATATGAAAAATGAAAATTTTAGAATGAGTGCAGAAAAGGTTTGTTATTCATTGGAAAAATTTTGCTATTTCAATAATTTTAAACTTCAGATTTACATGTTTTGAGTATTAAAAAGAAGTACCATTTAAAGTTTTGTATCTAAGTTAATTAAAATAATGCTAATTATCATAAGAAAAATTTTGAGAGGTGCAAAATTGAGCTAATTATTTTTTTCCTTAATAATTATCATAATTATAAAAAAAAAAAATATGAAATTGAGGGGGTACTGCCGCACCGGTTGGCCACCTCCTGGCTGCACCTCGTTCGTTTTTCCTAAAACCTCAATTGCTAATGCATTGGCACAGAAACTGTTATCCTTAAACGTGTGCTTGAAAAACACTTCCCAACTACTATCTAAAAGATCCTGAATGCATCTCAAATCAGGAACCAAATTTTCGATTCCATTTAGGCTAGAACACACCTTTATAGCTATCTCGGAATCAGATTCAATAAGGACTTTGATAAATCTTTACAACTTTGCAACTTCTAGACTTGTACGGATGGCCGCAACCTCAGCCGTCTCTACCCAACATCTTCCAAGAAAATTGTTAAAGGTCCTCAAGAACTTGCCTCTGTCGTTTCTGATGACTCCTCCAACAGCTCCTTTATTTGATCCCCAATTGAACAAGCCATCACAATTGATCTTTGTCCATTTCGGCGGGAAATATCAGTTTATTCAAATGTCACTCCAATCGCTATAAACTTTCATAATGAACTTTACATTGGTATGATTTTTCTAAAAAGTAATTGTTGTTTCTATTTCCTAAATCTTTCAAAGGCTTAGGATTGTGAGTGAAAAATCAAGTGTCTTAATGGGTATGTTGAAGCAAGTCTAGAGCTATTTTAAATCCCTAAGAGCCTGTAAATACACATGCACAAGTTTTTTGGTAATTCGTTTATGAATTTGTTCAAATTAGTTGAAATGTATGTGATAAATTAAGATTAATTTCCGTCTTAAGTTAACCATTATTCCAAAATAAGTTTTTCAACATAATAATAATAATAAAGAAAGCACTTATTTTAAAACGGGAGAATAATACTATACAACTATATGGCAATGTAAAAAGTTCGGGCATACTTGCTACATTCAATGATTCAAATGCCACTCTTACAGATGTGAACATTTGTACACGTACCACAAACTTGCAATCTTTAGTATGTTCCAACTGAATACATACGATGGTGTATCACATTTCTGTCACGTATTTTCTTTTCTTTTTTTTTTTTGGTGCGTATAAGCAGACTGAACTTGTGACTAAAACGTTAAAAAGTATGCATTTTATGGGGAAAAAAAAGTTTACTTTGGAGAGGTGAAAAATGTGACGACAGATATTTGACTTTATAAAATTACAGTAGATAGTAATGAAATATGCCACAACTCGCATGTACGTTCACTCTATTTTATTCGAATTTGCATGCTGCATTCGTAAAGTGAAATGAAATGAAGTAGTCTAATTCTTATGTACCCTGGTGGCCAAATAAGATTTTCACCTAAAAACCCAAATTGCAAATTCAGGCGGACGAGTTCTTTTTCTTTCATTCTTTTGACTAGTTTGCAGATATTGGCTTATACAAAAAAAGAAAATGCATACTACCCTATAGGCATCTTGCCATCTTCATTCTTCCGAGGCTATCATCGGCTCGAGTTTATGCCATTAATTAGTGCATTTACCATGAAAGGTTAATTTCACGTTTCAACTTAGTAGTACAAAACGGACATGGAAGGAAGAAATAGTTAACGTCGCACACCCTTCAAAACCAACATTGCGTTTCCCCCAAAGATTTTGTGTTCATACTACCAATTATCTAGTATTCCTCCGTCCCAAAATTATTATCCAGTTTAAAATTTCTCTTTTAGTACAATTTGAACTCAAAATAAAAATTTGGATAATAATTTTGGGACGGAGGGAGTAATATATTATGACAGGGAAACAAGATTAAAGATAGCACTAACCTTTTTTTTTTTTGGTCATATTAGAAATAAGAAGGAACAAAAGGAGTTAGAAACTTTTACAACCAAGCCTTCCTAAAATCGATCCCAACTACGACTACTATTACACAATTTTCTTGTTTCTTTTTCCAAGGATTGATCATCATCCAGCAACTTCAACACTACTAATCAATCTACCTACCTTGCTAATTAAACCAGTTTCCCCTTTACCAATTTCTTCGACCTTCTTTAGCAAAATGCACATTATCATGAAGCTTAATTTGACCATAATAATAATAGAGCAACTAATTAACTGGAACTAGCTAGAGGGAGAGAGAATGATGTGATGATGTTTAGGCATGGCCTGTTCTAGCAAGAGCGATATCAGACAAAGTGAAACAATCTCCACCGAAATTCCCGGCAGCTTCTCCTCCACTCTGGAACTGCCACCCGTTTCCAAGCCCATGATGACCTGGCCCACCAACACCACCGGTTGCACCGCCGTCTGCCACCGCAATACCAGGGAACGGCCAAACAGATCTTCCGAGCCCAAATCCCACGTCCTCAACAACTCCAGTACCAAGCCCCAGCCCAAACCCACCAAGTCCAAAAATCCCAGGCCCATGAGTGTTCAGCAACGAAGTGAAACTCCCACAACTCGTTCCGATTTTAGCATCGGCAGCGGTCAAGAGAGGGATGGAACCTCCGCGGTGATCGGCGGAAAGTGGGGATAGAAGGGATGAAGTAGCGGTGGGCGGCGGAGTGTGACGGTACTCGTAGGCGGGAGAGGAGGAGGAGGAGGTGGTGGTGGCGGAGGCGGTGGCGGCGACGGTGAGGACGCCGGGAGAGCAGAGAGTGCGCGAGCGCTTGGCGTTCTTGCGGGTGCCGCCGCCGACGGGGATGTCGCGGAGGGCGCCGCCTTGAGTCCAGTAACGGCGGCAGGCCTTGCAGAAGTGGCGTGGCTGGGAGAAGTTGTAGTTGTTGTAGTAACAGAACTTGGTGTTGCTTGATTCACACCGTGGGCATCGGAGTTGTTCCGTCTCCGGTGGTGGTGCTCCCAGCTGGCTTTGCTTCGTTGGTTTCCTCTCACAGCTCTCCGACGGCATCTTTCTTTTTCTGTTACTTGTGCTTTCGAGGTTGTCTTTCTATATTGTTTGGGCTAAACAAAGTAAGGAGTAAAAGGGACAAGTGTTTGGAAGAGTGATTTTTGGGTCAAAAGCAATAGAAATGGATATGAAAAATTTCGGGGGTTAAGGGAGCAGGAAGAAGGGGTATATATGGACGGTTCAGTGTGTGTGTGCGAGAGAGAGAGGGTGAGAGAATACGAATACTATGGTTTGTTGTGTTTGTGTGGAGATGATAAAGATTCTGTGTGTCGAGGGGAGATTACAGAAACAGTTTATTATGTGTGTGGGTACTGGAAGCTTATTAGGTGCCAAACAACAGTGAGCAGCTTTTTACAGAATTCCTCTTAAAGCCGGGTAGGGATACAGTTTTCAGTCGGCTCGAAACACACACACACACACACTCACTAATAAGCCTTTGTTGTTAAATTTTTGGGGTCGGCTGGCTTTCAGAACGGGAGGCTTTTAATTCGTTGGGCTGTGTCTTGTAGGTTCAACAGTCTTTGCTCAGTGTGCAAATTTCATCATTATCTCTTTCTTAACCACCTTATATGTGGTTTTTTTCTATTATCTATCTACATTCCTTGCATTTTTCCAGACCTAGAAGTAGTAGTATACAGTAGCTAGGATATAGAGATTCTGTGTGTGTCTTTAGGGAGATAATTACGTTATAGTAGTAGAGTAGGTAGGTTTGATTTGTATGCAAAAGAATCTGTTGCTCTGCTGCCGCTGTTGTATGGCTCTCATCTCGTGTTGTGTGGGTTTTGGGGTGGCGTTAATTTGTTAAACGTTAATGCGTTTTCAATCAATATGTTGGTGTGTAGACTTTCAAACGTGTCACTCGGTCAATGTGTATGTGGACTCATTACATCACTGCTCCCCCCTATCAATTTTTTGATCGACTTCGCCACTTGTTTATTCTTTTCGGATAAAGACAAGGTCATGAACTTATTGCACTACTGTGAATATTAGTAACACGCTGACCAAATCATGTTTTGATCCTAATACATTGATCTTCTCTACAAACTTATGAGACACGTTGATACAAGAAAGCTTGTACTGAGTAGTATAATTTATTTTTTTTTAAGGAATTTTGTCTGGTGATAAACATGCTCAACTTGATCTTCATAGTCCGAATAACTACTAGCATCGTAGTGTGTATTTTTAATTGGCTTTTCCATTGGATTAGTTGGAGTTGCTGGAGTCAAGGATAAAGATCAGTACGTAGTTAAAAATAAAAAATAAAAAAAATCTTCAACAGTTAAATAATGCATCTCCTCCAATAATTCAATGTATATAGTTCACTACTAAGTCATATCACCAATTAGCACCGTTAGTTAATAGCCGTCTAATGTGTGTTCTGGAATTCATTTGATTAAATTAATCAATTCTATGTGACCATGTGTCTCACACTAATTATATACTCCTTGCTACATGTAACTTCGATGCATGACTTTGATTTATTTTGTTCATTTTTTTTAGTTCGTTGGATTATGTTTTTTTTCATCTTGAGTCCATCATGGGGACCAGAAGATACACAAATTATTGACTGTACGCAAGTCTCGTAAGTTTAATTACCAATTTTTAACCAGGATATCAAATACACTTAATTTTAATTAGTATGGTTAGAGCATTATACAACTGACATTGGGGTCATTACTAAGTACTGACTCCAATACGGGAGGACGAAAGATAAAGATCTTAATTTGACCATATCTCACATTCAAGTAGACCAAAGTACTACTACCAACTAAGCTCATTACTTCCCGTTTTAGTACTTAGCAGAAAGCAAAGAAGCCAAAGGGAAAATGGATTACTCCCTGCCAAGTTTCTATAACAGGAAACACAGAGGATAACACCAACAACACCAAAGCACAAAAAAAAAAAAAAAGTAGAGACAAATGTACAAAATTACAAACAAAAACAATGTTTGAAAATCTCAGAGCGGGAGACAAGGACGATTCAACAAACAACAACAACAGAGTTCAGGAATACCAAACCCAAAACAAAAACGTACAAAAAAAACAGAGCACACACAGAAAACATGCCTACTGCCTGCAGCTATGCAACTGTTGTTTCCAGTGCCCACCCAGTTGGCTTGTAAGCTGCAGCAGAAACTGCAGCAGAGCAGCAGCAGGGCAGCGTGTTAGAACAAGAAAAAGATTGAGAAGACGTGGACTGATTTTTTTTATTTTTTTATTTTTTTTTTGTTTTAACTGGGTTGGAATTGAATTGAATTGAAATTGGGACAGCAGAGACAATATGATGAATGTCGGTTTAGCGTGGGAGTGCAATTATTGGATTGTAGTAGTAGTAATAACTAATAAAGCCCCCCCTTTTCAATCTATTGTCCACCGGACCCCAGCCAAGACCCGTCGTTTTCTTCCTTCTTCCCCAGATTCCCCCTTCCACTTCTATTCTATCAAATACTCCACTATCGATTATCATCATCCGTACCTTCCTTCCTAATTCTTGCCGGATTTATCGCTACCTTGTCGTCTTCTTCTTCTTCCCTTCTTCCCCTGTTTCTCATCCCCACCGTAACCACCCATGACCATGATGAACTTCAATCCTGACCCTTGATTTGTTTTCCTGTTTTCACCAGCAATGGATGATTTGTAGCCTAAGGAAGCGACATATGTCAGTTGTCAGAGACTTATTAATGGGCATAAAATTCTCATTTCTCCGTTAGCATGCGCTGCCCTGAATTTTATTAGTTTTCATTAGTCCGAAACCGGTGAACTGAGAACAAGTTAATTCCAACACCGGCTACTGTTACAACTATGAAAGCCCAGTTGGTTTTTTTTGGGCAGTAAATTCATACAACTCGAAATCAATCTGATCTGATCATGGTCTTCTTTGTTTTTGTTTTTTCTTTTTATTTTTTTTGAAAAAAAAAAAAGAACATAATTGACTCTGCTGCTCAGTGGGTTACCAATTATGGGTAGGCAGTATGTTCACTAGCCTGAGTCTTTTCTTCTTTCATCTTTGTCTTGTTTCGCCAGGAAATATTATTCTTCTCCTATATATATATTCTTTATTTTTTATTTTCCATTGACTGATCTCGTTGCAGTTGGTTCCCCCATTCACTTACTGAGAAAGCACACGAGAAAGGAAAAAAGAAACAAGAAATGAAAGCTTTGACTATTGTACAGTTTGGATACATCTAAATTGCCACATCCAAAAGAATTCAGTACAGTTTCTGCCTTTAGTTGCCAAATGAAATTTGAATTCATGTTCTTTTTCGGTTTGATTGAAATTTTCAATTTTGGTTGTGGCTCTTGTGGGTCATGTTTGGTGGAATTCAGGTAAGAGCAATTGGTACTAGGCACTTAACAACTGCTCCACAGTATCCTGTCTATGGTAATATTTGTACTTTTAGGATTTTTTTTTTTACTTACTATTTCAGTTAGTCCAAGAAAGAACCATATCCACAAGTACCCGAGAGAATTCTCCAATTGTTGGTTGAGACTTGATTATTGAAGCCACAATTAGGAAAAATTTGTATGTTTTGTAAGACATTAATATATGTCCTGTGTTAATGCAATAATAAAGATTCATTTGTATCATTTACTTTTAGTTTTAGCTACATAAAAAAGTGTCGCTAACTTAACACTGCATTACATATTACTCTTACATATTCCTAATTAGTAAGAATTATATCATAATCGTCTGTGTCACATTATGGTATTAATAAATTGTTTTGAATTGCTGAAATATTTTCTGTTACGAATATTTACATTTAAGGTTGAAATAAACAAGATTAATGAGCGCGAAGAAGTAATCTTACATTCTTAGTAATCCCATGTATTTTAGTTTGTACACGAAAAAATGTGACAAAGTACAATACATTTTGACCCGTTCTTATACGCTTACTGTCCATGATCCACTGTACAAGTGTTAATTTCTGCACCCGTACTCACACAGACACACACTAAAACAGTTTAGGCCAACAAATTACTCAAGGTAGCTGATCACCTACGTTCAACTGTGTATACAAGTAATAAACACCATTATATATATATATATATATATATATATATATATATCATACGGGCTATAATTTGATCACCGTAAAAAAGTCTTGTCCAACTTTGAAACTTATATAATTGAGCAATAATAATACTACTAGCGTACATACAAATAAGTATATATAGTAGTTATAATTACCACGCTGCAGCCTCATCCCCTCTCCCCTGTATCATTCCCTCAATAATTACCATCATCTTAATAATGATAAAAAACCACGAGGAAACAAGTTACCGCACGCGAGAAAGAGCTAATAATGAATTGTACTAAACAATCAATTTTGTGAGGACTATAATAATGAATTTAAGTTCTTACATAAGCAACAAATTTTGTTCATTTCGTCGAATCAAAACATGAACATGAATACAAATAGCATGATGATCAAGGAAAATCTTTGAACTAAAGAATTTAATTTGATCACACAAGGCCGATCGATCAACGAGGAAAATGTACAGTTATTATAAAGCCAAGCAAGCTACAGGTCTCTAAGTTGCCGGAGATTCATTGGGGAGACGTATTTTTCATCTCCATCAAGCAATTGCTTTGCAATTATGACATTTGCGGCTTCACTTGGGTGATAAGGGTCCCAAAATATGTGTTTGTCACGGTCTTGACACATAGAGGATGTCGGACCGCAAGGAATTATACCTGCAAATTGACCTCCATTTCCACAGCATGCTGCACTCGCAGTTGTAAACCCTGATCGTAAAATTTGCAAAAGTTAAGAAGTTATTAATGGTTTAAAAAGCTTAACCTCATGAGTAATCTTACAAAAAAATTTAAGTAATTAACTACTCCGACGTGCCAAAATAATAATTTATTTCTACGTAGAAGTACAATGAATGATGTGTTTGGCGTTACAAAAAACACTGTAACAAATGTTAAAAGAAAACACAATATATAATTCTCGTTCTATCCTAAAAGATTTGTCCTGTTTGAATTTTGATTTTTAGTATAATTTGAGTTAAATATAATATTAACACGGGACGAAAAAAGTTTATTTTCTTTTTTTTTGGGATAAAAAATAAATAAGACTATTTTCATGAAGCGGGGAGAGAGAAGATTAGGCGACTTACCATAGCTTTTGTAGTTTCGAATGAGTTCCATGACAAGATCGTAGACATTAGCATGAACAAATGTGGCTCCGGGCAGGTTTTTATTGAGTTCGGTCATCAAATTCTTCAGTTTAGCATTGTATTGAAGTGCAAGCTGATTTGGTAATTCCACACACTCGTCTGCACTTAACTGGTTAATCGTCTTTTGATATGGGATGCATCCAATTGGTCCCACGTTTCCCACAATGAATTTCCTTGCATCCAAGTTATAAAGTCTCTACACACATATTATAAAATGCAAAAAAAAAAAAAATGAGAGGTAAAATTGTAACTATAAGATCGGATTTTGAAAGTGAGATTAATGATTTATATTGGTGTATATACTTACCGTGAGCTGACCTTTGAGATGGGTGATAAGATCATCCACGAAACCATCAGGGCTTTGTGATATTCTTGTGCCCGCGGAAATTACAGGAAGTAAATAATTGTTTAGAAAATCATTAGAACCGATTGTAACTGAGAATATCGATTTTTTGGAAATGTATTCTTTTGCCTTGGTTGGACCTAGCAGTTTATCGATTTCCTTTCTTGTGATGTTGAAGTAATCAACCTGGATGTCCATTGAGAGCCTATTCACCTGTAATAACACATTATATACTTAAAAAGATGGAAAAATTTATTAATTTGAAAAAAAAAATCGTTTTTATCAATTAATTAAGGAATTAATTGATCACGTACGAAAATTCTTCCAGTCGCGTTCATAATTCCACCACCGCCAGAAGCATAGTTAACTCCATGCAATATAGTTTTTCCGGTGCAATTTGGTGCCAAAAATGGTGTTGCATAGTATGGCTGTCCCAGTAATTCACCTGTAAATATTGATTGATTAAGTTACCGCTAGAACATTTTATTCCGAGAATAAATTAATCATTAAATTTCAAGAGCCCAAATAAGAGAGTTAGACGATATGGTGAAATGGAGGATAATAATTACGAGTTTATTGGCTGAAATTTCTTTAGAATGTAAACCAGAAGAGAGAAAAAGGGGGAAAAAAAAAATCAACTTGAGGAAGAACACTTACCAACAATGTCTCCGATGGTTCTTCCATTTGTGTACCTGCCCGTAGGATTTCCACCCGAAGCCTTAAAATCAATTCCATTAGGTTTAATATTAGCCTTGGACAAAGTTTGTAGATAGTTATTATTTCCAGCATCGACCAAAGAATCACCAAATATATACGAAGCTCCATTAGCTAAATCACTCTCATCAACTTGCTGGCAAATTCCAAATCGATCATTTAAACTGGCGATCACTAAAAATGCCAAGAAATGAACCAAAAAAGAACAATTCCTAGCCATAATTTTGATTGATAAAAGCAAGAAATAACAGTAGCACTAGCTTATAAATTCTTGTAATTGATGTTGAAGGAACACTAGGTGTAGTGGTATATATACGAAGGCTTGATTGTTGGAATGGATTTAATTAAGCTGTTGAGAATCTAGCGAAGGCTTGTAATGGTGGAGTTTTTATTTTGGTAGGACTTGTTTTTTTGGTATTCTTTTTTTAGAGTTTGATGGATTGAAGTGTAAAAACGTGATGACCGAGCGACGGGTGTTAATATGAATTCAAGAATTAGGTCATCAACATAGTGTTAGCTGGCTCAACCTCAGCTTGGAAAATTGAATCAATTCTTGTGGTATAAGCAACTTAAATGGAGTCAAATCTGTCGAATAGTAGAACTTAATTAAATTATTTAGTGGTTGTAATGGAAAGAACTTTCCAGTATGCATTTTGGTGTTTAGCATAATTTTTGGGGTTTTTTTTGTAGGTGAACGAGAAAATTAAAAAAAAAAAAAAGAAAAGAAGGTGAAAACGTGTTAGTTAAGTAGGTGACTAAAATAAAACCATGCAGAACAGTTTGTGCATGAAAATACTTTCACGACCTGGGTTCAATTGCTTTTTTAAAATTTTTTGTTGGAGTATAATAATTTCATTGTTACAAATTAATATTTTGTAGATTCAACGTTACTACGCTAGATGTTGCTTACCTTCCCTGATGAATTGATAATCGATCTTAGTTTTAAAGCTTTCTTTATTATATTCTAGGTTTTGGTACTATAATTCAAAATGCAATTAGCTAGTGGACATTGGACGATATATTTATTTTCATTGATTTTCTCATTAACTTGATTCCATTATGAATAAGTTCATTAAACTATCAAGAGACTTCGAAAATCGTAAATACTCCTTCTGTCCCAAAATTTATTGTCCAGTTTGAGATTTTATTTTTAGTACAATTTGAATTAAAAATGAAAAACCAATCTGGACAATAATTATGGGACGGAGGGAGTACTAGCTAAAATGAGAGTGGAAAAAAATTCACATGAGTAATAAATATTTTAAAATTCAATATATAAGGATTACATACACTAAGAATCCTTACCGGAGAAGATGATAAGATAATACGTATTTTAAAAAACAATATTCCATTGTCTGTCGCAAAATGCTACCATTTCACCACAATTTCTAGCTAGCAGGACGTGCGTCATGTTCTTTCACCGACGTTATAAATACGAAGTTAATCACTTGGTAAACGAAAATAGCGACCAGAAGGCAATGAATACAATTTTTATTCATAACACTACCAACATCACTTTCAGATAGGCAACATCAGTTCCCATGTCAATCCTATACTGCATGCATTTAGAAAATATCTTGTTAATTCGATGACAGTGACTACAACATCTAACAATTGTAAAAATTTCGATGCAAAAAAATTTTTACCTTTGAAGAAAATCTGCCATCAACATCGTGTCAATCTCTCTTATAGTTTTGAGTTTCATGTATGATCTTCTACGCCCATCAGAATATGTGAATGTTTTAGAATTTGAGTATTATTTTGACCTTCGTTAAATTTCAACATTGTATCTGTATCCTCGCGTATCAATCCGGATTGGGATTAGATTAAAAATATGTTATGGTTATTCTTTAAATTTGAATTAAAAGATTGCAGTGAAATGAGAAATCAGATAAGATTTTGGAAATTATATTTTAGTAATTAGATTCTACTCCACTAATCCTTTTTTTATTTGAAAAAATATATATATATATATATATATATATATCCTACTATATTAGAAACAAAAACTTCCCTTTCAAACAACTCATATGATTGCCACGTGCCATATAGAAAGTACTAAATTGCCCTTTTGTCTAAACCATAACTAAATTACTAAATCTCCTACTATATTAGAGAAACAAAAACCTTCCTTTCAAACACCTCATATGATTGCCACGTGGCATATAGAAAGTACTAAATTGCCCTTTTATCTAAACCATAACTAAATTACTAAATCTCCCTTTGCACTTTAAGTGACACGTTTTTTTTTAAAAAAAAAATTTCTTTATGTTTCATTCATTTAGAGTAGTTTTTTAAGTTAAATTGATCAATTAGGTTTTTGTTACAAAGTGTCAATTTTGTTTTAAGCGTATACCCTGCGGATGAAGCTTATTACAAAGCTATTAAAAATCTCCAAAACTAAGTATTGATTTGGCACGACCGAACATCAATAAATCATCTTACTAATATTTAAATTTATTAGGATATTTTTATATTTTATCTAACATTTACTTCAATACATATATTCGATTAAGGCTATTTATATTTAATAAGTAACACTTATAAAATATTTCTATAACTTACATGGCGAAATACAATTTCTTTTTTTTTTTTGTGAAATACAATTATTTCTATGATCACACTTATAAAACATTTCTAAATCCTTCAAACATTTCTAAAATATATCGCTCCAAATACAAAATTTTATTTTTTTCAAATATAACTATTTCTAAGATTTACAGATAGACTGGGCCAGAGTCCCGCGTTGCGCGACCAGACATCACTAGTATATATATATATGGATAAGACAGTTAAGAATGTGATAATGTCCCATTTTCAATAAATAAAAACTGTCTCAAAAATTTATTCACTCAATTAACCTGCAGAAGTTGTAAATAGAAATGATATTGATCTACTTTATGAAAAAATATATCACACCAAATTTTATCTTTATTTGTCAGTTCTTTTAATTGGTTATATAATTTCATGGCAAGTGTCCCAAAATCTCTCTCTTTTAAGATTTCCATTAATCTTTCTCTTATATAATTGAAAAATGTATTTTTAAATTTTTTTTTCCAATTAGAAAAACTTAGTAGGTGAAATTTATGACAGATCAAAATGCCTTATACTAATAAAAACCGAAGGAGTAATTCATGGCAAGTGTCCCAAAATCTTTCTCTTTCAAGATTTCCATTAATCTTTCTCTTATATAATTGAAAAAAGTAGTTTTAAGATTTTTTTTTCCAATAAAAAAAACAATACTAGGTGAAATGTATGACAAATTAAAATGCCTTATGAAATTATAATTAGGACCGAAGTGAGTACTATTGTAAACGAGCCTTATTAATTTACTCTTGATGGCTATTTTTAACTTTTGAAATTTGATGTTAATAAATAGATTTTCCATTGAGTCTTATGATAATTTCTTAAGGATAAACTTAAAAAAATGTTGAAGATAAAAGAGGTATTCATATTTGTTGATAAAAATGTATCCATTTTTTCGTTTGTATCGATAAATGGGGTAAGGAAAAATATCTGAAATTTGCGTAGAATATGATGTTCTTCAATAATTTTGCTTTCTCTATGTGCAAGATGATTACTAATCATCTATTTTCTCAGTTTTGTTTACTAAGAACTGCAACGTTCTGATTCTGTACAGTTGTTGGTCGTTGGACAACGTAGTAGAAGTAGTTTGCTAACTTTCCTCTATTAATTGTTTCATGTATGAAGGTTTTTAAATTTTGAAATAGGAATTAGTAATTGTTGTTGACGGTGAAAATCTAAATGTGAAATATAAATAAATAAATAAATAAGAAGGGTATATGTGAACCTGCACAAAATAAATAAGAAAATATAATGAATGGTGCAGTACAGAACATGTATTTTTCGATTAAATTTTGCCAACAACCATCCAAAGTATGTTCTGAATCCGTCAAGTAGATCACCATTTAGCTGATTAAAAACATTAAAATGGCAATCAAACTCATTACCGATACTCCTGTCTAATAAAATGAAATCCTTGAAATAAGTTTTAATGTCCGACAAAATTATACAACTCCATCCTATAAAAATGGTTTACATTGTAAACCATTGATTGTATTATTTTTAGTAAAATTTACGATTTAAAATAAACTGATAGAGGGAATCATATTTATGATTTATTGGTTCTTTTGTAATACCATGATTTATTATCAGTGTTATGTCACAGTGTGACTCATAGTCATAGTAGATTAGGGAGAAGGGACAAAAGGAAAGGGAACAAAAAAAAACAGTCTACAACTAAATTGGGCCCACGTACAGGCTGATCGTACAATAAACTATTAAAACTCCCAACTCAATTGTAAGCGGATCCAAACTTATATAATTGTAATAGAATCCAATAACTTAATTTTATCATCCTCTTCCTCCTCCTTGCGTCATCTGAGTCGGTGCCTCTGGCGGCGTCGTCAATTCCCTCAACTTTTCCGATCAACCCGTCACAACTCTTAAGCTTCAGCAAAAAGTGAGTACAACTTTCGTTTTTGTTTTCTAAATTTTCGTCAGTGTCAATTAAAACCTGTATATTAATGGAATCAACCTTGTTTTATCTCTAGCCTAATCTTATGTGTTTTTTGGTCGGTATCGAAGATGGAAACTCTGTACCAAATCGATTCACACCCACATGAACCCTTCAATTATGATACTGACGAAGAGGTGATGTTCTTCGAAAATGGTGCCTGATCGAATCGATGTTTCCAGGCCTGGAATCAGGGGGGAGTTTGGAATTTTTAAGATAAATACCCGTTCCGGCAAACATGAATACTTCTCTATGGAGGATATATTGTTCGAACCCGAACCCATCTCCGATGATATAAATCTGACTTTGAGGGACTTCGTCTCTCCTTGGGATCATCACCATAACAACTGGAGAGTCCCTCATGTTGAGGATAGAAGGCTAAAAACGTAGTATACCCCAACACATTAGACAGGGGAACCAGTACTTTGGCTTTTGTTTTTAAACAGGGGATTATGTTTGTTGTCAATCATTCATCACAAAAATCAGTCCCAAACATTGTTGAAGTTAATTATCACATAATGGCTACTAGTTCTGGAGGCAGCAATGATACGCTGGAGCTTCTGCGATGGAAGTGCCGAGAATATGAAGCTAAAACAGGGAGAAGCATTTCTGTTGCGAACGCAGCCAAGTTCGTGGCTGGCATTGTCACTCCTATTATGTGCACTGAAGGGATACTGATCGGCGGGTGGGACGATCAGAAGCTCCAGACCCTAAACCCTAAACCCTAGACCCTAATTTTTCACTTTAGGAAAATTGGAGGATGTTGGGAAAGTGAAAAGGAGCCTTGATGGGAAAGTGTTGAAATCGAAAATCTCTACCACTGGTTCCGGGCGCAACACGAGCTATTCGTTATATGGATTTAAGGTTGGGGAGGATAATTTGGATGCATGTAACTCATGCTCAGGATGTGGAAAAAGGTGCAATCAGCTATGCTGCATATCTGGCGACTTATATTGGTGGTTTTGTGAGTGTTTACCACATTGGCCGGTGCTTTGGCGGCCCTAAGAAGCTCGTATTTGGGGATAATGTAAAAGAATGTCAAAAGCAAAACATGGAAAACCTTGAACTGGGACTCATTGAGAGAAGAATGGTAAAAGCAAAACATGAAAAACCCTGAACTGGGACTCATTGAGAATTATCCACCGGGACTTTAAAAGGATCTCTTCATGATTGTTGTTTTATGTTGGTTATGTCTCTATGTCTGGATAGTTTCTTGCAAATTTACTAAAGTTTTTTTTTCTTTTTGATGATTATTTTGTGAGGACTTGTTACTCTGCATTCTCTTCAAAAGTCGTATTGATCGGGCTAGAGTTTTATATGGGGCTCCCTGGACCCTTGGGAAATATTTGTTTGGTCTGCAATGTATCGATGGTGCTTTTACAGATCTAATTGCTGGCTGGCATCTCGGCCCCTTTTGGATGCAACCCCACAATGGTCCCCTGGAATTGATGAGTCAGGATTTTGCTTCGTGGGCTGGAGATAAGATTGGAAAATTTCAGGAAGTCTTTTCCGATGGTGATTGAAACTGTATTGGTCGTTTTTTCCGCATCCGGGTGGATCTCGACCTGAATAAACCCCTGAAGCACTGCCTAAAAATCAGACATCGGGGCATCAGTCATATCATTGTTCTTAAGTATGAGCGGCTTCCTAAATGGTGTTACTCCTGCGGCATAATCGGTCACATTGCTAGCGAATGTCCCTCCAGACCCCCTGGTCCTTCGCCTGCATCCGACTCATTTGAGTATGGTAGCTAGCTTAAAGCCACATGTTACTGGAATCCCTTTGTCTCCATAAGGCCTGATAGGGAGCCCGACCCCTTAGTTGATTGTGAAAATGATTTCTTTCACCCAAAAGAAAATCCTGATGTTATTGAAACCCCAACATTAAACTACAGCAGATCTCCACGTCCTTCCAACTCTAGTCCTAGATCTGCTGCTAATCGAAATGCTGCTTCATCCTCCCAGCCAAGACCCCCTCCTTCACGCCCCACTCCGTCAACTCAACCCGTTGCTAGCCCAAATCCTTCCCCCAATCTTCTAGGAGTATTCCCCTCCCACTATCAAATTCAAACACTTCCCCTCCCTCTCAAGTTCCTCCTCTGTTTAATTTTCTTTCTTCTCCTGGTGCTTCCCCAACTGCTCCTTCTATCCTGTCACCAGATGATTTCCCCTTTCTCATCTCTGTGAGAAGCATTATATACCTTCACCAGTCAAAAATGATTTTACTCTCGACCCTCTGATTTCTGAAAACCTGCAAACATCCCTTCCTGGCAGCCCCTTGCAACATTCTAATGACCCTGAAATTCTTTCCCCTGACTCTGTCATCCCCATTACTTCTTCTTCTCTTGAAGCAGAAGTATCTAATCAAGCTCTTTGACCTATGCCTATCTTCAGCGAACCCTACTTCACCGTCCAGTCCACCAAAAAGCTGGCCCCCACCCCTCCATGGACAGCCTTCTCCCCCCCCACCCCCCATCTTTTTCAAATCCTGCCAACTCCACAACCCCTTCCTCTCCCACCCATTCAAATATTCCCTCTGAACCCATCATCCCCAGTCCACTCCTTGTGAACGTTCCTATGAAGCTTGATATCCCGGCTAGGAAAGTTGCCCGTCAGTTCTCCTCAGTTCATAAACGTATTATGAAATCCAGTTTTGTTAGTCCTGACGACCTTGTCAATCCCAGTGCATCCAAGAAGAAGTTTATTTTGGAAGATTTTGATGGGGAGGATCTCCTTATGATCGATGTCGAGGTGATAGGCAAGAAACCCAGAATTGATGAGGATTTTCTTCATGTTTCTGAGTCTTGTTATTCTATGGTTGGTGGCATGGCGGTGACTGGCGTAGACCAGTCTCGTCTAGCCCAATGAATATCCTAAGTTGGAACTGCCAGGGCGTGGGGAGCTCCCGGACTATTAATGAGTTGTGTGTGGTCTTCCAATCCAAATCTCCCCACCTGATTATGTGAGACCAAATGCAACAGCTCCCACATTGACTATCTTAAGGAGAAATTCAACCTGATCTTCTTTCGTTTTGAAGCCCACTAGGTAAAATCTGATGATTGTGCTAAAGTAATTGAAGAATGCTAGAATGATGATTTCGATTCGCTGGGAGCCAAAATAGAAAATGTTTCACTGGGTTTGATGAACTGGAGTAGGCACTCAAGCTCTGATATTGAAAAAAAGATCTCTGGTCTCAAAAAAGAAATCCTCTCGCTTTAACGAGGAACTTTGAATGATCTAGAAAAAACACGTCTTCAAAATCTTGAACGTGAACTTGACCTGCTTTTAGAGAGTGAAAATCTGAAATGGAAACAATGTGCTAAACAACACTGTTATAAAGAAGGCGACCGGAACATGAGGTTTTTTAACTCCTACGCGAGCAAATGCAAGTCTGTGAACCAAATCTCTGCACTTAAAGACCCTATGGAAGTTCTGAGGGATTCCAAAGAGAACTTGGAGAAAATCATTACTTGGCGCGCTATTCTCGTCCTCTCAACCTCTTGATTCAGAGATGCAGCTGGCTGTTAGTAGACTGAGTCCTAAGGTGACTCATGATATGAATAGCCGTCTGACTCGCACCTTCACCGTAGATGAAATCGTGAAAGCTCTTAAAGAAATGACCCCTTTTAAATCCCCTGGCCCCGACGGTATGAGTCCTGTCTTTTTCAAAAAGTTTTGGAATTTAGTAGGTAGTGATGTGATTTCTTTTGTGCAAAATGTTTTAAACCACAAGAAATATGATCATAATGTCAATACACTCGTATCGTGTTAATTCCTAAGGTTAAAAATCCTGATTCAATCACTCAGTTTAGACCTATCTCGCTTTGTACTGTCACCTACAAACTTTGTTCCAAAGTCATTGCTAACAAGGTCCGTTCAATTCTGCCTAAATTATCCCGGATTCCCAATCCGCTTTTATTCCCAGTAGGCTCATTTCTGATAACATTCTTCTTGCATACGAAACTCACCATTTAATGAAAGGTAGGAGAAATGTTAAACAAGGTCTCATGTCCTTAAAGCTTGATATGAGTAAAGCCTTCGACCGTATCGAGTGGCCTTTTATTCGCCTTGTCTTGCTAGTTTTAGGGTTCTATCAGTCCTTTGTTGATCTCATAATCTCTTGGTTGTCCACTGTAAAGTTTTCCTTTATCTTAAACGGACAGCAATTCGGCTCACTCACTCCGGAACGGGGTCTTCGCCAAGGCGACCCCCTCTTGCCTTACCTCTTTATTATTTGTTCGGAGGTATTTTCTTATCTCTTGCAGGACCTTCAGCGTTGTGAACGAATTCATGGGATCGGTGTTACACCCGAAGCTTCCCAAATTTCTCATCTTTTCTTCGCGATGACACTTTACTATTTGGCGAAGCCTCCGTTTCATAAGCATCATATCTCAGCTGGACTATCCACCTTTACGAAAGCGTCTCTGGTCAAAAAGTTAACTTGGAGAAATCCAGGATCTACTTCAGCCCCAACACCCCTGCTGACTTAAAGAACTCAATTTCCAGCATTTTGGGTTTCCAACAAGTGGATAACCATGGGAAATATCTGGGCCTCCCTTCACTAATCGGTAAAAATAAACAAGAGGTTTTCTCTTCTATCAAGGACAAGGTTTGGCAAAGATTGCAGAGCTGGAGCTTGAAATCCCTCTCGAAGGCCGACAAAGAAGTCCTCATTAAGGCGGTTACTCAGCCTATCCCTTCGTACGCTATGTCGTGTTTTAGAATCCCTGATAATGTTCTTGACAGTATTGAATCTATGGCTAGCAATTTCTTCTGGGGCGACTCTAGTGACAAACGCCACATTCATTGGATCTCTTGGAATTCCCTCTATGTGAATAAATCTGCTGGAGGAATCGGTTTTAGAAACCTTAAAACTTTCAACATTGCGTTGCTCAGCAAGCAGGTTTGGCATCTCATTATCTCCCCGAATTCACTCCTAGCTCATGTCCTTAAAGCAAAATACTTCCCCAACCAATGCTTTACTGATGCTCAGCTTGGCCCGCGTCCCTCCTGGACTTGGAGAAGCATTATTGATGGCAGGCGCGTTCTGGATCTTGGCTGCAGGAAGCAAATTCGCAACGGTAGGAAGACTAGCGTGTGGTTTGAAAAATGAATCCCCATCCCGCCATTTTTCAGAACCACCACTACTCCTCACATCTTGCCTCCTGATGCAAAAGTTGCAGATTTGATGACAATTGATGGGGACTCCTGAAACTCTAACTTAATCAATCAAATTTTTACTCCAGTGGAAACCTCTGCTATTCTCTCTATGGCTATCCCCCAAAATAACAACCATGTAAGGTGGAACTGACACTTTACCAAATCGGGTAATCACTTAGTAAAATCTGCTTATCACTCTGATGGACTCCCGAACTTTGCTCTAAATGACTATGCCACCCCTTCTTCTCCCTGTATTACTCAATTTGTTTTAAGTATGTTTTGATTTTTATCTCCTTTATTCGAAAAATCCAGATTTGAATATTTCTAACCATTCAAACACAATGAATAACATACTCAAATTAAATTAAAGAGACTGATATGATAATCGTTATCAATGTAATTCCCAATTTTGTTGCCATTTTCAATCACTAATGAGAAAAAAAAAATCTTAAACCGCATTACCTACAACAAAAACTCCTTTAATTCTCACGTAATGTATCAAGTGACTTACATTAGTTTTATTTTATCAATTTTGTTTGACTTTTTTTTACTGGTACCAACTTGCGACTAGAAAAATTTTTTAATTAACAGAGTTAAATAATTTATAGAGTATTAATTTAGAGTCTATATATATATATATATTATTTTTCATCTATCACATTTCTCATTACTCAAATTTTAACAATTAATATTTCACAAGATTTATACCCATCTGACATATATTTTTATATCCCCTCTATCTCAAAATATATATATCTATATATATATATATATTTGTCCCCATTGAGTTTTAAGAGTGGCATTAGAATATTTTTCTAAGATGAGGGGAGTATTTAATGAATAATTTTAAAAATATTGTAATATATCCCGCACATCGTGCGGGTTTAACACTAGTTGATATAAGAAAAGACAAATAAGAAGGCAATGCCACACAAGACAAAGGCAATGCCAAACAATAATACAATGAAAACAAAAGGTGAGGGACTAAATGTATCCCACTATATCCTTAGAGGAGCCCACTTTATGATTATTTTTCCCTTTTTCATTATTGTTAATAAAAGACTCATCATTTTAACATTTCATAAGTTTCAAATTAAAAAAATAATGAAATTGACATTAGCAGAATCATTATTAAACTCAATAATTATTAAAATTAACTTGTATAATTTTGTAGTAGTATATTTTACTTACTAACTAATAATTAGATAACATTAAACAAACTAAATTAATTAAAAAAACAAAAACAAATTAACTTTACCTAAATAAATGAATATTTAACTTGGCCTAAATTAACTTTACCTTCACCAAAAAAATTATTCAATTAATTTGTATCAAAAAAATTAACCAACAAAAAATTATTGCACATTACATGAAGTAATAAGAAACGAATACAATTCGACGCATAAATAAAATAAATAATTACATAACATTAAATTTTTTTAAAAAAAATTAAGATAAAAACAAATAATTACATCAGATTTGGAAAAAAAATATATAAAAAGAGAGAAGGCGACGCTCTCACTACGTGAACGGCCGGCGGCACCGCGCCCACTGACCGTGCGGGCTGCCCGCGGCCGATAGGCGCGATGCCGCCGGCCGTTCGCTCAGTGAGAGTGTGGCCTTCGCTCTTTTTTTAATATTTTTTTCAAATATGATGAATATATATAATAAAAAAAGCAAAAAAAATACCTACGGTGGCAAGATTTTTTCAAAGAAATACTTAAAGAGTTGAATATTAATGAATAAAAAAGAGATTAATTTTTATACTTGTTCAAATAAGGATAAACTCGTAAAAAATTGGGTTTCACTAGCATTAAGTGGTCTACGCTTAGCATTACCAAAAAAAAAAAAAAAACTCTCAAGCCCAATTGAAAAAAATGGATCGTAGGAGAAAGTGGGATGATCTAGTGTTAGTCCATATTTCCATTTCTGAAATTTCCCTCCTCCCAAAGCTCCACTCAACTGAAGACACTGGCAGTGGCCACTCACATAAAAGAACCTCATTCGACCGTTGGACTGGAAACTCTCACCTTTTACCCACTCAAAATCCCAGAATCACAGCCAGCAAACCAATAAATTTGATTGGTCTCCGGTGATTCAACGATGGTTACTCGGAAGAGTGTAGCTCCGGCGAAGGTCGGACTTGAGGCTGCCGGGGAAAATGGAAGCGGAGACATTCCTAAAAAGTCCGATTACGAGCAATCCAGGGAAGAAAGAATCAAACAAAACCTCGAGAGGATGAAGAATCTTGGGATTCTTGATCTTTCTCTCAAACTCAAGTCTATGAACAAGCCTACACCTAAGTCAACCCCTTCTTTTCGCAGAACTTTTGAGCATGCCACCCCTTTACCGCCTTCTGGTCCCCGCCGCCGCTCTTCCCGGTAAAATTAATCTTGCTCTTTCTGCCTCTGTTCTTCCTCTTTTCCCGGAACAAATTCCATTGCATGCAGTTGCTGTTAATTTTTGGGCCTTATTTTGTGTCATTTCGTGTATCTAGTGCTAGTACTTTGGCCCGAATTTTATTCGGGTTTTCCACATGTTGAGATTGTGTTTTATGATTTTACTGCTATTATATAGTAGTGCAATGTTTTTCTTTGTGGAAAATGTTGTTTAAGTATGCCAAGGTGGGATCTTTCTTTACCTTAATGATGTCTGAGATCAAAATCAGCTACCTAACAGTTGGAAAATAGTTTTCTTTGTTGAACCTTGAAGGCACAAAATTTTCCATTATGGATTTACTTGTTCAAGAAATATGAGCTTTTTTTGGGGGGAAGGGGGGAGGGGGGTGAATGACCAAGTAAGTTTAGGCTATGAAATTAGAATAGTTTGATATATACAATTATTGCAACAATTCTCGGTTGAATATTAGAGCGGGAAGATTCATAAGATAGTGAACGGTTTGTTGTATGGTATCCACCTATTGCGTACTCTTAATCATGAATTCGGAGTGTGTTTATGGCCCGTTCTTAACAAACCAGCGTGCATCTCTAATTCTTTGTTAAAACTTTCTAGGTTGCAAAATGCGACACCTGTTAGCTATACTGAAGTGCCTTTGAAAAATAAAGATAATTCGTCAGAAGATGAGCATGATTTCCAGAGAGAGGAGGGTTCCAAACCAGAATCCTATACTGAAGAACATGAAAAGTTGTTAGGCAGCACTGAAATGAGTTGGACTCTATTTGTGGATGGTTATGCTAGTAATGGAAAACGTATATATGATCCAGTGAAAGGCAAGACTTGTCACCAATGCAGGTAAGGAGTTTATTTGCAATAATGCAGGAAAGGCTTCGGCCATTTTAGTTCACAATTAATTTAGAGACTGGAGACTTTGTTTCCTACTTAATGTTAAACGGGAGTTAGTCACTAATCCCTTCAATTTCCATGCATTCAATACATTTTTTTTGGCTTCTGCCGGATATAGTTTGTTTATGTTCAAATATTCAGCAGATTCCTTTTTGCAGGCAGAAAACCCTTGGGCATCGTACGCACTGCAGTCAATGCAATAAGGTGCAGGGACAGTTCTGCGGAGATTGTTTATATATGAGGTACTAATATGCCGCACTAAAATTAATTATGTCGGAGCTCGCATTACATCTAAAGAATCCTCCAAGTATGACTATAGAAGTCTGCTCCTCTATGTGTACTGGTTGAACTGTCTTTCTTTTGTTATGTCCGTTTGATTGTAAAAAATGTAAACCACAAAATGAATAGCAGTTATTGGGAGGACTTAAAAGGTTCTCTGTATTCCATACCAGCAGTTATTGGGAGGACTTAAAAAGGTTCTCTGTATTCCATACCACTTTTATTTCTTTAATTCTTGAAGTATGACAGCATGAGATTTTGCCTGCTTTAACGCTTCACTTTTAATTATTTAAATGTTTAATGCTTTTGGTTGCCCGTGGCTGGTAGTAAAAATGTCTCATTTGTAACTTTTATTTGCCCAAAGATAAATAATTAGTCTTAGAAGGACTCAAAAAGTTAATTGATTTATTTACCCTTTTGCTTCTTTGATTCTAAATTATTGTAATGTCAAAAGAATGTGAGAATATTTTGTCTGCTTTTGTGCTTCGCCTGTTGTTCATCTAAGAAAAACTCTAAATAGCTTGTAGTATTGAAATACTTGAAAGTAGACGAAAAATGGCCCCTACATTACTATTTATGTAAAATGTTAAATGAAGGTATAACTGATGATAAATTTGTGTTTCAGTAGTTACTTCAATCCGTTACATCCCTTCAATTTTTTCTTTTATGTTTACCGTTATGGATTAGTACTTTGGAATTCTGCCACTCTGGTTCCTCCCTTCATATTTTCTGAAAGTGAGTGCATTACTATCACTGACTCGGGAGTTTATTTTGTATAATCTCTAATAATGAAGTTATATTGATCATTTCCTTTTCCTTTTGGTAGATATGGAGAACATGTACTTGAGGCAAACCAGAATCCAAACTGGATTTGCCCCGTTTGTCGTGGTATTTGCAACTGCAGTTTATGCCGTCAAGCTAAAGGGTGGGCACCTACTGGCACTCTTTATAAAAAGGTTTGTCATCCTCCTTTCTTCGTATCCTTCTTTGTAGAAAGTATCTGAACTTCTCTAATAACTGCTTTTTGTCTCTTTCAAGATTTCAAGCTTAGGATTCAAGTCCGTTGCTCATTACATCATTCAAACACGACAAAAGAAGAGTGTTTCAGAGGTAACTTCAGATGTCGAGGTTCCAATATCTGCAAAAAGATCCTTACCCTTTTCCAGCACCGAAGAAACACCCATGGAGAACAGATCTTCTGGGTTCAAAACTATACCTCAGGGGTTGGATCATGGTCAATCTGAAGGCCAGGTTACAGATGTTTGCATTGGTGTTGGTAAGGAAGAGGAAAGACAATGTGTATTGGACAATGAAATGGCTGAGTGTAAGTCAAATCTTGAAGACAACTCACTACTCATAATGAAACCAGCATTGGCCGCAGATGGTATCTCTGGAGAACCTCGGTTACAGCAAGGGATTGGAAGTGAAACAGATGTTCAAGAGGGCAGCAAAGTTTTGTTGGTGGATAGCGCAGAGACTTTCACTATGCTGGCACTTCCTGAGACCAGTTTGAACCTGACAGGAGTACCGAACTCTGAAAATGGGACAATACTGATGAAGCATGATAATAATGATGAAGGACTTTGTCATCTGGGTAAAAGAGATGTTGAATGCTTTGCTGCACCGGAATCAAGCCGAAATTCCAAAGGGGCTAAAGATGAAAGACTAGATGTTGAGCATCAGATCTCGAGCGATATTTCATCTACATGTACTGTTGAAGCAACCGTAAACCATCTTAGTTCCACCACTTCAACTGTCACACAAGTTCCAGTTGTATCTCCACCAACTACCCTAGCAACTGTAAACCATCCACCAATAGCCACTCCAATAGTTGCACCTGCTGAGGCTACTGATAGTATTGCCAGAAGATTGAGACCAAGGCGTGGTAAAATCATGGAGCTTGAGGAGCAAGAGTCAACAGGCGTGCAACAGTTGGACAATGTCGCATGCCCTTTGAATCCTGTTACACCTGTGACATGTTCGAAATCCAACAGAAAACGCATTCGCAGCTCAGAGCCATCCCCTAATAGTATCGCTGGACGACTAAGACAGAGGCGTCTAGAGTGCAGGGTGGTATGAGGCATTGCACCTGTATTTTCCTGAAGCCACTTTAACCGGCCTTTGCCTTTTGTTCATGTGCATTTAGTCCTAGCTAGATATCAAGTTAATGCAGTAGGCCGTTGGACATGATTCTTTTTGCCGAATGTTTGCCGCTCTTCCCTTTTTGCTTGCTCATTTTGTTCAGGTTTTGGAGGAGCTCAGATATGAAACTCCACTTTTTTCTAACAGGCTGTAAAATGCTTATTCACTAATGTACTAGTCCAGTCATTAGTTTCCAAACCTACTTCAGCATTTTCCTGTTTTCTAGCCCATCTACAAGGTCTAATAAATCGGGTTTTACAAACAGTTGAGTCTACATTGTCATCCCTAAATGGGCTGTTTAATCTGTTGAACCTTGGATTTGATGGTCCAGGAATCTTCTTGCTTAAGTCTCTATGGAAACAAAAATTGAGGGAAAGGAACAACACAAATTTTTTTGAATTGACTACTGCTGAATGCTGATCAAAAAGACCAGACGCGGTGAACTAAGAAATCAAATACGAAGTTGACAGAATGTAGGTAAAGCAAATGTTAGTAGTTTAGTAAAGCTATAAAGGGAGAAAGATCAAAGCAAAAGTCATGCTTCCAAAAAACAAAAAGAGAGCACTATCTGCATATATATCACACTACTTGCTTAATGCTTTGCTTACTTTTAGAAAAGTAAAGCAGCAATACTACTACTGCTACTAGTAGTACTACTAAACCCTGCTACTTTAAACAACATCATTCATTCTGGGATGAAAAAGTAGGTATCCCACATCACACATCACTCATTTGAAGCTTGCAAACTGCTCATTCTTTTGTTTTTAACCACAATAATTTTCTTATTTTTCCCCATTTCTGCATGTAGACTTGGGGTTCATATGATTGTGAATCTGTGATGATTGATTTGGTTGCATTTCAGGTGCTGTTCATGATTATGAAGCTGATTTATTTTATTTACGCCACCCCTCTAAAAGACTAAAACAATGGGGTGGGGGGAACTTTTCTCCAGTAATCTCTCCATGCTGAATGGGCTAAAAATCATTTGTTTGGCAGCTTTTTGGAAGGCATGCAGAGATCTGTCCACCAAATTGACTCGGGAACTCAACTTAATAATACTAATCAAAACCAAATATTCTTAACTCCACTGCTAAATTGGTGACCTAAATTGACCCACACTCAAAAAAAAAAAAAAAAAATGGTTTGCTATTTTAACGCATCCAATACTCCCATAATAAGGACAACAACGTGCATGGGAAAAAGTTTGGAGGGTCGCAGCATTAAATATGTCTGCCTTTGTTGTGTTTTGGGGTCCTAACTTTAGGTACTAGTAGTAGTAGTGTTGTAGTACCTTAAAACCCTAGCAACTGGTTTGCTGAATGAAGTTAGTTGAGTCCATTCAACCTACTTACTCCGCTCTCTTGTTCAGTTTTTTTTTTACTCATGCCTGCAAATGTATCACTTTCTGCCACAATAACCAAAATACAACCTAGTAACTAAATACAATTGCATTTTGTTAATAATGTTATTGAAATGACTGTTCTTGGCTCCCGTTGCTTGACGTCTATACTCTATAGTACTCCTTCCGTCCCATAATTATTGTCCAGTTTGAATTTTTATTTTTAGTTCAAATTGTACTAAAAATGAAATGTCAAACTGGACAATAATGTTGGGACAGAGGGAGTATTTTTTTTTTCTTCCCGGTAACTCAAATTGACATAAAAAGCAAGTCTACCGTCTACTTTCTTTCTTCTTTTTTTTTTTTTTTCTGTGGATTGGGTGGTACACTAATAGTCTAATACAATTATGAATTTTAACTAATGTAGTTGAAACGCATCATAGGTATAGTTCGATCTATAAAGTTGAAGTATATGCAGAGAGGAAACAATGAAGAATTTCGCTCCAACAATGCATTCTCGGCTAGGATTTTTGCATTTTTATCAATTGACTAAGGAAGTTAAATTAAAGTCAACAATGGATGGTCTCTCCAATCAACCAAAAAAAAAAAAAAAAGGTGAAAATTTGTAGTCAGCACTGTCAGCACAGGTCATTTCGTTTTTTTTTTACTCTCTCCTGACAGAAAATTTGGGGTTTTGTGCCCCATAGTAGTCCACCAATCCAACCTCTTCTAGAGATGGAATCCAAAGGGATAATTAGTAAAATCCTTAATTGCAAAGAGAAGAAGGAATTTAACTAACTAATAAAATCAATTCATTTTTATTTATTTTTTTTGTTGTGAAGGGAAAAAACAAACATGGGTTGGTTGAGTGGGAAGGGGAGATCACCATAGCTCATAGGCTCCTTAGATCAAAATAATGTTCAACTCAATTATTCTTTTATAACACTAGTTTTTTCTTATTTCTTTCTCGACATTATAATGTAGTTCAAATTCTTGTCTAAGATAAACAAATAAAATATGACCCCCCTCAAAGCTACTTGATCCAAAATAATTTTTGGATATCGTTTAGAGAATAAGAGCGTTGAAACAACTCTGGATTTGATACAAAATGACAAATAAACTAAAAAAATGATTTTAATGTTTAGGATAAGCGTAATCAATTCTGTATGTTTAAAAGTTTGCATTATCCTCTCACGAATCTTTCTTCTGCTACCAAAGGCATACTGTGTTATTGCCTTGTTATCTATGTACGTACGTCATGGATTATAAACAATGTTAACCCACAAGGTAGAAATTTACTATATAGTCCTGAGATGTCCAAAACCGAAAAGGACAACAATTTCTAGGTTTCAACGGGTTACATATTTTATGTTTATGCCAAATTGTTAAGTCCAACAGTTTTATCAGAGTTGACCAGAACAACCTACAAGTTTTCATGATTCGAATGGACATAAGAAGTAAAATTAACTTCAAGAAACAAATAGGATATGGCTTTGTTCAAGGTCAAAAGATATGATTCATGGAACTAACTAACATTCGATCCCGATCATGATTAAGAACGACCGTCTTTCATTTTCATTTCATCAACTTTGATTTGTCCTCCAATCCATCCAGTTTATTATGCTTTTTTTTTTAATATTTGTCTGGTACAATGAAATTATTACTATTATACAATTCACAAGCGAAGATAATTTTAGAACGAACGACAAATAAACTTTCGCTTAGTTTCAAAGATCATGTCCCTCATGTTAATAATATTTCGAACTTTTATTATCTTTCTTGTATAGGTGAATCGTCAATTAAATTTATTTAGATAGTTCAATGTCTATAAAACACAATATTTTATAATTTTACGTATAGGAAAACATCTATAGTCGCTGCCGGGAAAGCCAATGATTCATTCAACATCAATAGAGTAGCGTAGTCAATCAAATGATCTGCAAGAACAAAGAAACAACGTGGGAAAAGGAATGTAGGAAAAGCATCAACATTGAAAGCTTAATGCAAAAACTTTTGGATGGATGTTAATCTCTAAAGTCAAGCAATAATGTAATATATCCACCCTTTTCCTAAAACTGGTCATAATTGAATTGATTATCGTATTTTCTAGTGCTGAGCTAGAAGATGTCAATATCTATGCTCTATTAAGCTAGAGAGTATCCAAAGTTGTATCTATATATATGGATTTGATTTTTTCCCCAAAAAAAAAAAAGAAAAAGAAAGAAGAAATTATTGCTTTGAATTGAAACAATTATTACCTTTTTTTCTTTTTTCCTTTTTCATTTTTTTTAAATAAAAAAACTCCCTTTGTTTCTTCTTGTGGTCCTAAACTTGTTTCTCAGGACGCATTTTATCAGGCGCGATTGCTAGATTTTTGCAAATACATACATTATATGTAAAAACAAATAAATGTGGTTGACTTAATTTTAGTTGAGTTGTCCATTTTTTCCCTTGTCACCTTTCGTGTATATTACTATTATTTTTTAGTTTCTACAATAACTCATTGTCTATGATTTATTCTCTCATAGTAGTATTTCAATATAAATTATGTCTATTCGGAAAAAGAAGGACGTGAATACAAAATTTTAATCGATCAAGAAATTCACCAATAAATTAACACAACAATTGTTCTACCCCTAAATCTTTAGTGTTTCATGATTTGTTGTGGATTCCACATTTAGAGAATTAGCATATTGTATTGTTTACTGTTGATGTAAAGCCTAATATACGGAATGATGCGATTAGATTATAACAATCAATTAAGGTCGACCGGCTGTCAAACATATTTAATACAATAAAAATTTCAAGATCTTTTTTTATTTTTTTTGAAAAATGAAGATAAATGCAACTTAATGTGAAAAAAGTCAACCAATAAGATATGGCGAAATAAAACGTTTGACCATTGTATTTTTTTTTTTTAAGGTCTTTTGTGCCTGGTTTATATTACTACTACTAGTAGTTGAATAAGGCCGCCAAATGTTTTTGTTAAGCAATTCTACAACATTTTTCCACCTTTATACCAAAATGGCAAATTGGTTAGTGGCTTCTTGTTCTTAACTATCTGCAAACAATAGGCTATAAAATTCCAAAAAAAAAATGCCTGCTTTTAGGGGTGATTTCCAATTGAAGTTTCTCTCATTCTCCTTTTCCACTTTGGTTTCTTATAATGTAAAAAACGCCAAAAAAAAAAAAATCAACAAAAAATAGTTGGGAGTACAGTTTTTGTCTAAGAACAGTGCAAGGGTATACTTGTTTTGTTTTCTTAGAGTGTATTTTTAGGTGTTTTTTATATTGAGAATGTAAAAAATTATATTGAAAATATAAAAAAGTATGCTGGGATGAGACAATTATTAATATATTAATTTAAAAAAACCATAAAAAAAATAAAACAAACAAAGCCTAAGTTGGCTGGGTTTGTGTGACTAGAAAGTAGAAACAAAACAGCTTTTACAAGCTAAAATGTAATAGCCAGCTGATTGGTGTTTGACTTTTAGACCTCAGTATGAGATGAGTTGGCCCCATTCCCCCACTCACAAATCTTTGTTTATTCCATTTATTTTGATCATATATCTTAATTAATCGGCAATAATAAATAGTTAAATCCAGAGTGTTTTTAGTACTATCAGGAACAGAACTTGGTGGGGGTGTGAAAGTCAATGTCATTTCTTCTTCTTGTTAAAGTTTTATAGTGTAATTGTTAAAAAAAAAAAAAGGGAAAAACAAAAGGGAGAGGTTAGTAAGGAAATTTGCAATATTTTTGCATATTTGTGGGCAAAGTCCAAAAGCCAGATAGATATAGGTCAATGAAAAAGAAAGAGAGATAAGTAGCAACACACAGTTGGGGGAGGTAATGAATATTGAGTTTGGGGGGGATTCACAGATCATCAACAGCTGAAGTAAATGTGCAATTACTTTGGATGGTCTGGTTTTATTTGGCTTACAGAAAAGAAAATATAAAGAGAGGGAGAGAGAGAGAAAATAAAAATAGTTGTGATAATACTAGAAAAGATATTACACAGAGAGAGAGCTTTGGAGTTGGAATTAAGGTGTTTTTTCAAGGAGATTCATTGATTCCCCAGCCTTAAGCTGAAGCTTTGTAAGAATCTTTTCTTTCTCCAGCTTGGGTTTGTGCAGAATCATTTTTTTCCGCCACATTCACCTCTCAGTAGTGTCTTTTTCCCGTGTCTCTTCTTTGTCATTTCTGCTGGGATCTGGATTTTATTGGCTTCATCTTGCTCTTACCTCAAGTTGATTTCTCGAGTCTCTTTGTTTGTGGGTTTGTGAAAAAGATTGAATCTTGAGTTTTTTTTTTTTTTTTTTCTGTGTCTCCGCATCTTTCTTTCTTTTCCTTTTTTTGTTTATTACCTTGCCTTGCTATTTTAATAATCTGTAAAGGGTTGGAACAGGTAGAATAATCACTGATTTCACTCTTTATACTTTGATTCTGCCGGCCGCATTGATTTTCTTTTGCTTTGAAATTCTGGGCTCCAGTCCATTTTCTCTTCTTTGCTGAAGTCTACTGTCTTGGAAATTTTAGGAATGGTCAAATCTAGGGTTTTGTTTTTCGATCTGATGTTCTTTTCATTTCCCCCTCTTAATTCCTTTCCGTGAGATTTGGAGTCCTTATTTGAATTCTTAGGTAAAGTGAATCCTTTGTCTCTTTACCCTCCTTGAGATACGGAATTTGATTTTAGAAAGCAAAGGTTTACGATTCTTGAGAGCTTTTTAGCTCGATTCCTTTTCCTTTTCCTAGGATTGAGTTTGAATTTGAGTCTTGCTTTTTCTGGGGTTTGGTGTTTGTTTGATGGGCTAAACATATCCTTTCCCTCCGGTGATGCTCTGAGTCGTGCTCTTTTTTTTTTCACCTTGTCACTAAGGCTGATTATCACCATCCAACAAAAAAGGAAGCTTTGATGCATCTTTCACTATGGAAGCCAATATCTCACTGTGCTGCTCTGATATTGGATAAGAAGAGCAGACGGAAAGATGGGTCAAGTCACTCAACTGAGGAAATTAAGAGAAACCCTTCAATTCTGAGGAAGTTGCAGGAGCACAAGCTCAGAGAGGCTCTTGAGGAAGCATCTGAAGATGGGTCACTCATTAAATCGCAGGATATGGAAGAGTCGATGGCAAACCAGGATGAGGGCTTGGGCCGATCAAGGTCACTTGCCAGGCTTCATGCTCAGAAGGAATTTCTCAAAGCCACCGCTCTTGCAGCTGAGCGTATCTATGAATCGGAGGACTCCATTCTGGACATTGAGGAAGCATTTGAGAAGTTTCTAACTATGTATCCAAAGTATCAGTCATCCGAGAGGATTGATGAGCTGAGGGCAGATGAGTATTCTCACCTTTCTGGCCCTGTTCCTAAGGTATGTCTGGACTACTGTGGATTTGGGCTATTTTCATTTCTTCAATCTGTTCATTATTGGGAATCTTCTACTTTTAGCCTCTCTGAGATAACTGCCAATTTGAGTAATCATGCTTTATATGGGGGTGCTGAGAAAGGGTCTGTGGAATATGACATTAAAGCCAGAATTATGGATTACTTGAACATTCCTGAGCATGAGTACGGGCTTGTTTTTACTGTTAGTCGAGGGTCGGCTTTTAAACTGTTAGCTGAGTCGTATCCTTTTCATACAAACAAAAGGCTGTTGACCATGTTTGATCATGAAAGCCAGTCAGTGAGTTGGATGGCTCAAAGTGCCAGGGAGAAAGGTGCAAAAGTGAATAGTGCTTGGTTTAAATGGCCAACCCTCAAACTTTGCTCAACTGATCTGAGGAAGCAAATATCTAGCAAGAAGAGAAGGAAGAAAGATTCAGCAGTTGGTCTTTTTGTCTTCCCTGTACAGTCTAGAGTGACAGGAGCAAAGTATTCTTACCAGTGGATGGCACTGGCCCAGCAGAATAACTGGCATGTCTGTCTTGATGCTGGAGCTTTGGGTCCTAAAGACATGGATTCTCTAGGCCTTTCACTCTTCCGACCGGACTTTATTATTACATCCTTCTACAGGGTTTTTGGTTATGATCCTACTGGATTTGGATGCCTTCTGATCAAGAAATCTGTGATGGGAAGCCTCCAAAATCAGTCTGGACATGCTGGGTCGGGCATAGTGAAAATTACCCCCGTCTTTCCTCTGTATCTGAGTGACTCCATTGATGGTTTTCCTGGACTGGTTGAGGATGATGAGGTTGGTGAAAACTTCGAAATGAAAACTGAAAGTCGCCCAGGAACACAGCTGCCTGCTTTTTCGGGTGCATTTACATCTGCGCAGGTAAGGGATGTGTTTGAGACTGAGATGGAACATGATAACAGTTCTGATAGGGATGGCACAAGCACCATATTTGAAGAAACTGAGAGTATTTCTGTTGGGGAAGTAATGAAAAGTCCAGTCTTTAGTGAAGATGAATCATCTGATAACTCTCTCTGGATTGATCTGGGGCAGAGTCCGGTGGGCTCTGATAATGCTGGTCCAGTAAACAAACAAAAAGTGGCATCTCCCGCACCACCATTTTGGTTTTCTGGAAGAAAGAATAATAAGAGGCTCTCACCAAGACCAGTAAGGACGTTAAATAGCCCAATATACGACAAGGAGGCTACCCCCAGGCACAACGAAGATCATATGCTGTCTTTTGATGCTGCTGTTCGATCTGTGTCGCATGAATCAGACCATGTTAAGGACATATCTGATGTAGAGCAGTCAAGTGAAAGATGTCCAGCTGTGAGAGAAAGTAGAAAAGCTCAAAATGTTTATCATGTTCAGGAGATTGAAGAAGAACCTGATGTTTGTGAACCAGTTCAGACATCCTCTGTTTCTCAGCGAAAGGTCCGTGAGAATGGTTCATCTGCGGCGTTGTGCTCTGAGCCAAAAGAGAGTGCTATAAGAAGGGAGACCGAAGGTGAATTCAGATTACTGGAAAGGAGAGAAGGAAACAGATATGCAGGTGGTAGATTTTTTGGCATTGAAGAGATTGAGCAGTCTGGAAGCAGGGGAAGAAGAGTGTCCTTTAGCATGGAAGACACTCACAAGTCACGTCTCAGCCATACCTTGGAGCCAGGGGAATTATCAGCAAGCCTGGATGATGATGATTATGCAAGTGATGAGGACTATGTTGATGGCCAAGAATCTGATAGAAGAGAGCCTGAGATAATATGCAGGCATCTTGATCATATAAATATGTTGGGACTTAACAAGACTACGCTGAGATTACGGTTCCTGATCAACTGGCTTGTAACTTCGCTGCTCCAGTTGAGGTTACCTGGTCCAAATGGTCAGGGTTCTGTACCACTTGTTCACATTTATGGGCCGAAAATAAAGTATGAAAGAGGTGCAGCTGTTGCATTCAATGTGAAAGATAGAAGTAGGGGTCTAATTAGTCCAGAGGTTGTGCAGAAGCTGGCTGAATCGGATGGCATCTCTCTTGGTGTGGGCATTCTCAGTCACATCCGGATAATAGATAGCCCGAAGCAGCAACGTAACCTGGAAGATACCACCCTTTGCAAGCCAATGGAGAACGGCAGGCATGATGGTAGAAGTGGGTTCATCAGAGTGGAAGTTGTTACCGCTTCTCTCGGTTTTTTGACTAATTTTGATGACGTTTATAAGTTGTGGGCTTTTGTGGCCAAGTTTCTCAACCCCACATTCATCAAAGAAGGTTCCCTTCCAACTGTTCTTGAAGATGCTGAAGTACAGGTCTGAGAACTGCTGTGGGTTGTTTTGTGAACCTTGGCTCCAGTATTGTGAGGGGGAGAAATTGATGCCTGAATTGAGGCTCTATCTTTGAAAACTATTCTTTTCAGGTGCAAGCAAGGAAATGAAATGTGAGGTTCTATATTGGATTCTCTGCCTTGATTCTTTGCTGCAAGCCGGGTGCATTTGTTCATTCATGGTTTTTTTGGTTACTTAATTTTTGAGTTTCTTGTAGAGTTGGCTTTAGAAATTTGTATGATCTAAGGGTAGTTATAATGACCTAAATCAAAAAATTATATAAGGGGCAGGAACACTGGCAGCTGACATTTGGCCTTCTACCAAATTGCTCTGTTGTATATTATCAAGATGTTAATCGCTTGTTTGGTTATTCCTCAAATTTTTGCCCTGACCAGATAGATATGCAAGTTTCTTGGCCATTTCCCTCTTTGCAAATTCCTTGTTTTGAATGAGTAATCCATTGCATATAGCAGATCCCAATCGAGCACCTTTCAAGTTTAAGGTTCATTTGTTCGTTGGATTTCGTATACTGGTACGAGGAAATTTGAACTTACAATGTGGGAAGAAACCTTTGTCAACCCTTGATTGATGCTAGAAGTGAATCTGCCAATGTCCGATTGAGCTTACTTTAGGAACACTGTTTATTGCATTAGGATGACATAAGAAGTATAGAAACCGCAATAGAAGGTAAGTTGATGTCAAGCTTGTCCCCCTCAAGATGTTTAATGTGCATTACAATGTCAATCAATCCTGAGACAAACTTCTTAAAAAAGATGCATTATTGGGTGCCTGAATCCATCAAAATCTTAATGCTTAGTTTAGGATAAAAACCTTTACCTGCCAACCTAAGCATTTGTCTTGATTCAGCTCTGGTTTTGTCAGTCATAGGGTTCAATCACTTTCAGATATTGACTTCCACTTACTCAGGTTGCAATAGAAGGTTACCTGTTTTATCAGTAGCAACAGTTTATAGAAACGAATATTGTTCCTGATAGAAAATGTGGCGTTTGTATACTCTCATCCTCCAGAAAGGGTACATAAGACACTATCACCAAAGCCATTTCTCGATTTGATTTAAAACCACAGAAAATGTACAATGTTTTCCAAGTTCATACCAAAGTAATGCTGGAGCTGGGGTATACCCATTTGAGTCTTGTTTGCCAATGTGAGCTCTTTGAGTCTTGACTAAAACACTTTTCCATTATTATTATTATTATTATTATTATTATTATTATTATTCACTTTTCCCCTTGTTGGATTCGTATAAATTTATTCCATTTCTCAGGAATTTGAAGATTTTTGCCCTCCAAAATATAGGTTGAACTGGTCAATTCCAACAAAAGTTGGTAACCACCAGGGCACCAAAGACACTGGTACTTATCCTTTTTAGCGACAAGATCATTCTGATTAGACCCTCCTTTCTTCGTTGAGGGATGTATATCGACACACGATTTGGAATCTTTTTTTTTTTTTAATCCAAATTTCAATCGCATTTTTTCTGCAAGCTTCTCCAAAAGTTGGCATTATTATAGTACTAATACTGTTCCCGTACGTTGGATTTTAAAAATTTTGATTTTTTTTCTTTTTAGTGGAAGAACTATGTTTTATGTTTACTATACTTTAGATAGCCATCTTTTGACAAATTTGATGGAGGAAAGGTAGAATTCTACACATAATATAAAATTTCCGTAATCAACATTTTTATGAAGTGGAAAGATTTTTAATATTCATATACATATATATATATATATATATTTGTTTGGTAATATTAGTGATTAATTTATATATGTTTTTTTTTTGGTAAACATAAACTCATATGCTAGTAATAGATAAACTTGTCCTAGTCGTGTAGACGATATTTTCTTATGAGCAAGGTCTTCAGATATAGATAAACCCATAAATTATCCTTTTCTTCTTTCTTTTTTGAAACAATTTTTTTTTTCACTTTTCGTAGTTCAGAAATTACTCACTTACAGTTCATTTTAGACAATTTTGTCTCTAAACTCTTTCTTCTCCAACATACACTAATTACATTAATTATAAATAAATTAACTAAATTAATTAAACAATAACACAAAATATAAAACTAAAGTAATTATACAAAAAAATAATATAAAAATAAAAAAATTGGAAAAAAAAAAGAAAAGGTAAGGGTGGCCACCCTGGGCAAAAAAAAATTAAATTTTTTTAAATTTTTTGTGTAATTGTTATTATTTTTTTATATTTACTTTAAGTTTTATTTTTTGTGTTATATTTACTGATTTGGTAACATTTTTAATTTAATTGAATTTATTAGGTATAATTAATTTATTTTAATAATTAGTGTAGATTAAATGGAGAAATTAGGTATAATAAGTTTTTTATTATTACTATAATTTATTTGTTATATTCAAATAAAGAATGCACTAGATATTATATTAAAATTATGTGATAAATACATTTTGAGTAGGTTTTTGTAATTAGGTATGTGGTATTTAGTTAGTATTAATTTATAGGCTTTAATAATTATTTTTTACGTAAATGAATTAGTTATTTTTGTTATATTTTGAGTAAATTAATTACAACTAAATAACACAACATACACTAATTACATTAATTATAAATAAATTTAATTAAATTAATTTAACAATAATACAAAATATAAAACTAAAGTAATTATACAAAAAAAATATAAAAATAAACAAAAAATTGAAAAAAAAAAGTACTGTCCGGCGGCCGGCCACTTTTTGAAGGTTGGCCAATTTACTCACCGGCCGAGGTCATATGGCATTTTGATTTGGCAAGGGATTCCACTAAGCATATGCCATATGGCGACGTTAATATCAAACTTTCTATAGATCTTGGGATATTAACGTCGGATATCATGTTGTGATTTCTTTGACCGGTGATAAATCCTTCCATACTACAATTTTTGATCTTTCTGGATTCTCGGTGCATGATTCTTTTGCATCTTCTGATTTGTCCGATGGTTAATTGTAATTTTTATGATTACAGAAAAAAATAATTATGATTGAATTGTCATTTATTTATATACTTTGTTTCTCATATTACCTTATATTGCCAGGTGATGATAATGAACCTTTCTCAATGTTTCCCTATGTTCGTGATAATTTTTATCATTATCACCTCGATGAACAGGTTATCATCACCTGTAAAATGGTGAGTGTTTAATTTAAAACCCTATGTTGATGATTTTCTTTTTTGTTTTAAATTCGTGTAATTCATGTTTATTTTTTTCTGTTAATTATTTAGTTTTAATCGTTTGATTTCTTTTTGTGTTTTGTCTTTTTTTCAACAGCCAGTCCCAACTTATTTGGTTGTTCGTCATGGGTTAATGGGAAAATCAAAAGCTCTTCTGTTTTATGATAGATATTCCAAAACTTTTGATATGGATCTTCACCATGGTGATTTTGAAGTACATTACAACGATCAGGTTGTCCGTGCAGTTAATATTCACGGCAATTGGTTCGGGTTTTTCGAGAAAACTTATATAAACATCGGCACTAGGCTTATAATATCGATTGAAAGCAATTTATTTGAGGAAGATTCTTCAGTTTTGGTTCTCTATGTAAAACAGTTCAATCGATTTGATGATCTTGATTGAAATTGTTCTTCGTTGAACTTCGATCTTGGTTTTAATTTGGACATTATTCTTCTGTTTTTAGTTTTTTCCGTATAGATTAATTTAATATTTTGGTAATATAAGCAAATTTGCATTCTCATTTGAGATCATCAATTTTACATTTCATATCAATATTTATGCTTATGATTTTTAATATATTATATACCAGTTTGTTTGTTTTTTATATATGATTATATCAAATTGTATATAAAATCCTACTTAATCCAATTTTTTTTTTTTGAAAAGATATCATATTCGCTAAATTGTATTAGAGTTACAGTTATTGTAAAAATTTACCACTAATAAAATAATACCGGATGATAAAATTTCAAAATTATGCGTTAGGTTTATTAGAAAATATAATCATAAAATTAAATCAAGGTATAAAAAAATGTAGATGTGTTTTTTCTATATAAGAAAAAACTAATCAAAATTAAACTTTAATACTCAGAAAATTTTTTAAAGTTAATAAAGAATATTTTATGTGCTCCAGTTTTCACGTTTTTCAAGGACTCTATTTCAATGTATATTACGTTAATTGATACTCATCAGATCGTTACGACTTTTTGTGTACTTTATTTTTTAATATCTATATTAACCCTATATATTCATTCCTTTTCATTGTTTTAGTGTAGCAGTTCTATTCTGAATCAAAAATCTCTTTCATCTCCGTTTATATCTCTTCAATTATTGTCTTTTTGAGATTGAACCATCTTCCATCTTAGTATCAATATTCATCAATACTTTTGTTGTCCTCATTCGTCAAGCGAAGAAGGTAAACAAAATTTCAAATTCTTTGATTCCTTATTTCATTTTTTTTTCTTTGTTTTTTTCATTGTGGCTATTCATTTCTCTGATGATAATGCTTTTGATTTATAACTTAGATTATTCTATTGAGATATGGATCGTTATTTGTTGTGTGAAATTTGCTTTAATATATTTGCTAATATCGTTGTTTGGTTAGTTTTCAGTGGCTTTAGCATATATTGTAAATATTATGTCTCTTTGTTTCATTTTTCAACATGTTTATGTAAGGAGTATCCATAATTCATCTAAGGAAGTTTCTGATTCGTTCATTTTTTAATTTTTTTTTTTATACAGCTTAGGGTTCGAAATCATGTCTTTTAGATTTGAATGGTTGTACAAGTTTCATGATGATTTTGATGGTTTTTCAATGGTAAGTTTTACTCCTTCTAATATTTCATATCATTCTTGAATTTTAGTAGAAATATTAATTGATTTTTTATTTTTTATTTTTTATTTTTAATAATAATAGACTATCGCAAAGCCTTTGAGTGATCGTTTCTTCGAATCAATTACCAATGTTATTAAGATTCGAACGACAGTTGGGCAATTCAATGTGAAGATTTCAGTTATTGAAGACGGAAAGTTTGTTTTGAGTGGAGATAAATTTATGGATTTTGTAATTCATACGGATATTTCACCAGGATATTGGTTGCATCTAGAATTTTTTGATAATCACATTGTTTACGCAACAAGTTTCGTTGGTCATGGTTTCCAGAATGAGTAATCAAATCATTTCACTCCGTTTGATCTAAAATGCTTAGTTACCGTTCAGGTAATCCCGAGTGCCTTTCAGAAAGCAATAAATATGCCAGAAACTCAAGTTGTGTATGTCCTTTGTGATGGTTCCACGCTACACTTTGAATGGTATCATGATCAAGGGATTTTTGGGTTATGTGAAAAATGTTGGATTGATCTTGTGAAATTTTATGAACTTCATACTGGAAAATGTATTCCGATGCTTACATATTTGGGTGGATGCACCTTTAAGGGAACCATACTTAGTGCAAATGGTTTTCAGGTTTAAATTCTTGACCAATCGTCTGATTTCGGAGGTAGTTAATAATTTTAACTTTTTCTTACAAAATTATAGTTTCGTTGGATGTTTTTAATTTGTTTTTAAATATAGCTTAATGTAATTATTATTGAGTTGTCTTATTATAAGATGAAGTGGTGACTTCTCAATTGATGATAAAGATTAACAATCATGTTTTGATAAATGATGGAATCTGTTCTTTTTGTGTTTCAAAGGAATCATCCACTGGTGTTTGAATTTCAGAATCTCTATTTGGATATATAAACTGAACTTTATGTAATTCCGTTTTTAATTTATTTTTTTTATCATTTGTTCTGTACATCGTATTTGCAAATAATAATTTTAATTTAGTTACATTGTTTATTTTTTTGCTTTCATATTTATTTGAATAATTGTGTTATTCTTTGTTACTTAGAAAGTTGATTTCAGATATATGTAATAGAGTATACTCTAAAGAAAAAAAAAAATCT